AAATGGATTATGAAAAATCTATTTGTGGTTTTCATGTTAGCAATACTAAAAAACCGGAGGGAAATTGAAAATCAAGGGAACCCCTAAGATATTCGCCCAAAAAAACGGCAAAATGAAAATTGTTGGCAGGGCTCGGATTGACTTAAGCTAAGCCCTGTCCAATGAACGTGCACTATTCAGGATTCACTCGAGTTGTATGCTGGTGAAAAAGGGTACCGCCTCAACGCGGGCCCAATTTTAAGTAGGTTATTCTGTAAAGAGTAATTTATACGTAAAAACCATATATATTTAAAAGAACCTGTGCAATGGTTTAGGTATGATAGGGTATTTCAAGGCTTAACAACAGTGGCACCCGTTGGATAAAAAAAATATAAAAAATCCTGTTTCATTATACCACGGTAAAACGTTTTCCTGAATACTGGAATATAAATTCGTTCAGTTAGAACCACATTAACAACACTATTAAAAACATCTATTTTCTATTATTAATTTGGCAGTATTTTCTGGTTGGAAAAACTGGGCATATCTGACAAAAATAGTTAATTTATTATTGGAGTTCAAGAGAAACTGTCGAAAATCGTTTGATCAAAACTGTACCAATAAAACCATTGTAAAAGGAGAGGAAGAAAAAAACGGGAATAATTTATTGGTTTGAAACATAAATTCGGTAGAAATATGCCAAAATATAAATGTTCCTCTGTTTCAAAAAACTGAAATTAAAAAACGATAGGGCTGATTTGGGGAACTATTTCTTTATCGGATGTGGTCATTGGCGATGTTAAATTGCATGATTATTGCACGCCGGGCAGGACCGCTGCAAGATTTTCCCAAAACAGGCGTTTTTTTGTAGGGCGATTTTAAGATTAAAAAAAAAGGGACACACATTAAAATCTAAAAACAGATTAACATGATGGCATATGTTGCCCAAATAAGGCAGAATAACTGATAGTAATAAAAGAAGTAAGGTCCTGGACAGTGAAGGAAAAAATTGGAAATATCTTCAAAATGTAATCGTAATAAAACTAAAGCTTTTATGTTAAGCTATTCAATAATATGGACGACTATAAAGATATATGGCCCCCGTCATAGAATTCTTGCCGGATGTTGGGCTATTACCAGGAGTAATTGTAAATATTTTAATATAATTAATTGATTAATCATGTTATTCGTCTTTTTGAAATGTTTTGTTCAAGAAAAATTGGGGACTGTGATTCAATGGCTTGTTGGTTGTAATGCATTTTATCGTGTTACTATTTTCTACGTTTGTTTTTAAACTCCCACATGGGCGGGTCCATTCTCGTTTTCATATCATGGGGCTATTTTGTCTTTTGAATAATAGAGAATCCACAAAAGTAATGGCAAAAAACTTAAGTAAAAAAAAACCAAATTACTATTCAAAAAAGATTTACCAACGGGCAAAAGTTCCAAAGTTCAAAAATGTGATTTTCGTTTATTTCAAAAACTATATTTAGAATGTATAACCAACAATTCCAGAAAAAATAAATAAATCCTTAAGAAAAGGTCTCTTCTTTAGGGGAACAGAAAAGAAAAACCTTTCGTCCACATTTCAACCCCGGTGTCCAGTGGTTGTTCAGTTAACCTGTTAACAAAAAAAAACTGAAAAAAGAATAAACCTTTAGGCAACAAACCGAACTCGGCGTAAGTGTAAACCCTTGTCCATGGGGCAATTACAATAAAAAATGTGTTATTTAAAAACTCTCCTTCACTGAAAGAGCAATATATTTTCTTTAAATTCAATTTTTCCCCATTGTTGAAAATAGGAATAAAAAAAATATTTACTTTAAAATTAGGATAAAAAAATGAAGCAATACTTTAAACATTTTTCTTTCAAAAACGAAAACCAAAAATTTATTTTCGACAGGGAAATTAAATCTTTACTGATTTGACGTTGCCATATTTTGCGAATTACAAGTAAGTGTTTATTGCTTAAGAAACCAATTCAAGTTTTTTTCACAATCCTCTTGTGAAAGGATCAACAATGGAAAAAACTAAAATTTGTAGAAGGAAAGAAAAACGGTTAAAGCATATTGCTTCGGGGCATTGCCAAAAACGGATGCAAAAAATTTTCCGCTTTAAAACTGTAGTCCTTTTTTCGGGGGACTTGGGGAAAACTGGTGGCCAAAAGGAAAAATTGGGACAATGGGAAGAAATTTTAAGATTTTTATTGGCATTTCATAAATAAAATAAGAACCAGGATTAGGTAGAGTTTTTGCCCCCTTTCCGTTCTTCCCCGGTTTGATGTAAACCCTGAAACTTTTTTAAAATTTCATGGAACGTAGAACCAAAGGATAGTTAAAAACCGCCCAGAAAAAACGAAATAAAGGCTTTGGCAAAAACTGAAAGGCCCGCTCTAAAAAACCAAACAACTTCCAAGGTTATGCAAAGGGTTTGATTAAAACGCTTTATAAAAACTGGGGAACGAAAGATCCCATATTTCTGTGGAAAGTTATATTTTTCCCCCGTAGGAAAAAACTGGTGATAACCCCAAAAAGGAAATGGTACAGAAATTAAAAAAATAACGGGCTATTTTCTTTTCCGAATCGGAGGGGCAAAATTTGTTCTTGGAAATGATGCCGGGAAAAATGACGCTTATTGTCACGTGGGTTATTTTGCCACACTTTGGTTTGGGAATACCAGTAACGGTCAGAAAAAGGGATGGGACCCGTCCATAGTAGTTAATTAACTTGTGTCCATTTAATAACATTTTTCAAGTCTTATAACCATTAAGAAAATGCTTGGTCACAAAGAAATTGGAAAAAATTTTCGTCGCTTCCTCCACGCGTCTTCCACAACCAAAGTTTACTTCGACTAAAAAAGGAAAAACTTAGGCCTTGTTCTTTTGATAAAATCGTGTAATTAAAAAACATACCCTTCAAGGAACCTTTTGGTGGAAACTTTAATCTTTTCTTTTTAGGAGACAAATTATGTTAATTCAATAAAAATGTTTTTCTTTTAATTAGTACGTAGAAATTCCATTATTGGCCGATGCTTGTTGTAAAATTCATTTATTATATAAAATGTATTCAATGTTATTCAGTTTAATTCGGATGAGATTTTTTCGGCTTCCAAACGCCCCAAACATTGTTTTTTTTTATTATCCGGATTTATATTTCCTATTTTGTGGGCAAAAAGGTCGCAATTAAAGGCTTTATTTCTTAAACCTTACTTAAACCCTTATTCTAACTCTAAACCTAAATATTGAACCATTTTTCTATGGGAAAACTAGGGGCAATTTCAAGAATTAAAGGAAAATGCTTAATCTTAAATTAAAAGTTTTGTCAAAAACAACATTGTTATTACATGAAAAAATAAGCCTTAATACCTTTTAAACAATTGGTTTGGATTATAGCTTTACATGGTTAACATTAAATAAAAACTACGCACCCTCTTTTCGCTGTTTTTTCAATTTTATTTCGTTAACTTTCTGAGGATTGTTGACGTAAATTAGCTTATACTTGTAAAATCTATGGTCAAATTCGTGATTTTGAAAATTTATAGCTAAATAATTGTTTAATGTTGAATTTTCATAAAGAGTTTACAAACCAATTTTGGGCAAAAAAATTTAAGAATAATTTTAAAAAATTTGTAACCCCAAAAGGAATGTGAACATTTAAGCCTTCATATAGTTGTACTGAAAAATAGGGGAAACTTAAATGTAAATATTGCTTTAAATAATCGGTTACTTTCCAACAAAAAGGTTCCTTTGGGTGAAAATTTAATCCCTTCCGAATTATTAAAACTGTTCTTTCTAAAAGAAACTTAATGGAATAAACATGAATTGGCCGTTACCGATTAAATCTAATAATTCATAATTTATATTTTTCAAAAACAAGTTTTAAGTATCTAGGGCTAGATTTTTTTATAACAATTTACCATTGAAAACATTATATAATTTCGGGTTTATACGAGGGACCCTTAAAAGATAAGGGAAAGGGACAAGGGACCCCATTCTAAAATTCCCAGATTTGGCAGGAATAAGGCTTTTTTTATTCGAATTTGATTTCTCTTCCCTATGAATAACAAAACAGCTTTTCTCTTCCCACAGGTTTACCATTCCCCAATGGGGACTTTTAGCAAAACCATTCCCATAAGGTCCTAGTCTTTAAATTTTTGGTTGTCTGATTACCCCATTTTGACATTTTAAAAAATCAATAACAAAATGCCACAAAATATTTTTTCAAATGCGGTTGGACATTTAAAAGAATAAATTGACAATTTTTTTAGATACCTTAAAAGAATTTTATTTCGCCCACCGGATAAAAGGATTTTATAAAAAGTTTAAGATATAATCAGAACTTCCCACACCAAACCATTGAACCGGGACCATAATTTTTCAAAACCCTTTTTTCAAGAAAAAAATAAACGGAAATTATCGAAACTTTTTCTGCTCAGAGGGAAAGAGGTTATTGTTGACGTTTAAAATCAATATAAATTTTCTCTTATTATTTAAGTTTAATAAAAAAAGGAAATTACTCTTTAATTTGTTTTAATGGACATTGTAATTCTGTTCCCAGTACTTGGTTTTTATTAGTATTTATCTAAAAAGAAAACCAATTTATTTCTTACATTTTTGTTATCCGTAAAAAATTCTTTTCATTACAAAGGACAATTTTTATATTTTATTACACCCGTGTTCTGTCCCAATCATGGCAAGGACGATGCTTTGTTAAAAAGTATTTAAAACATGTGGGAAATTGTTTCCGGAAAGAGTTCAAGAAAGTCCGGGAATTTACAAAAATAAAAACCCTTCCCAGATTGCCTTTATCTTATATTAGTTCAAAGAAATAAGTTTTTTAAAGTTTCCACTTTCTTACAGGTCCAAAAAAGGTTGACTTTCAAAGAAATTAAAATTGCGCTTCGTTGAAAACCGCAACTGTGGATAGTTTTGCGGAAAAAAAATTTCTTAGGTAATTAGTAGTTTATTTTATGTGATTAATTTCATTGTACTATTTCGTTTTTAACTGTACTGATACACAAAGTAGAATGAACTAAAATCGATATCAAATAATAAAATATACAAATGAATTGGAACACAAATATCACTTATACGAAACTACAAAAGCAAGACACTAAAACAAAATCCACAGATGCTAACCTTGATATTCTTCATCCTAAATTCATTATAATTAAACAATGATAAAGTGGACGCAAATGTATCAAACTTTATATACAAATAGAAAATACACCTCGTTGCACACGATTGTGACTTTTCAAATACTTCATATTATCAATTTATATACCGGTATTAAAATTTCAGACGGGTTTTCAAGTTTCAGTAGGATACATCTTCAAACAGTTGACTGGCATAAAGGACATGCAATGTCATTGTTACAACCATCGTATTGACAGTTGTACTCCAGCATCGTAAGCTTTGTTTGGCACGTATGTTTACTAACTGTTTCCATTGCTTTAATACTCAGTTCGGTGTCTCCAAACATATAGTCAACCTCAATGCTTAAACTCTTTTTCTTGGGATTAGCGTACTCAACATCAAGCCGTCCCAAAGGTTGACATGTATCATCATCAGTATACAGCGGGTCTTCAGCTGTTGAAAAGAATACACGGAAGGTGCATGAAGCTGCTGTAGGTTCTATAGTGTCGTACGTTTTTTAATACGATGGCCAACTTCAACCTCTGTACCTATTGTCAATGAATTTAGCGAAAACATCGTCGCATCTACTTACTCCAGCATATGTTTTCATCTTTCTTTTGTCATATGTAGCTTCATCAAATTTGGGACTGATTGCAACACCGTAAGAATATCGAAGAATGCGGGATGTAATGTTGCCTGGTTGTCTTCCATACACAACAGCACCTTGGACCACACAAATACCAGCGTATGTTGGTACAACGACCTTTCGTTCTTTTTTGTCATGAAACTCCTTTTTGATAACATCTTGCACATATGCTGATTCAGAGAATCCCCCGACCATAAGTATGTAAGATACCTTCTGGCCAGATTGCGTTGTATGAAGTATATTCTTCATGTGGTTTACAATCTTATCTGTCGTTTTCTTGAACAAATTCTGCATTACAGATGGCTTGAATTTTATTTTGTCTCCAACAGTCGTAATGTTTCCGTCCTCCGACGATTCCTTTACGAGAGCTCTGAAATCTTTACCTCTAATAGTGCTGCATTTCTCATTCCGAACGACAGGGTAACTTCATCTTGACGTCATCAATAGTGTATATAGACCTACATTACGTTTTACCGACTCAAATTCGCGCAACATGTCCAGATAATCTAACTTGTCTTCCTTTATAAATTGTGCAAACATTGGACCACCAACTATGTTACTGATGAGAGCAATGAAAGCACTATCTACAGATGTTCCTCCCCAAGGCCCTCCACTTGCTCGATTAACTTCCTTCAGCTTTCCGTTTCTAACCTTCTCGTGTACTGTTATATCAGCAGTACCACCTGACAATTCAAATTAACAAATTTGTTGGTTAAAACTTAAGTCTATCCCATTTATATAATATATCAAATGACTAATGAATAAACTATCTGTAATTAAAATAATAAAGGAAAATGTTTTATACGTTATGTCACGATTTGTTACAATTATGGAAAATAGAATGATGCATAAAATTTGAAAAAAGAGCTTCAATGAAGAGCAATTAAAACCAACCACATATTCGATTAATTTACCTCCAAGGTCAACAATCATGTATGTAGTTCCTGGTTTAGCATCTGAGAATGTGATTTGTCCGCCGACACTAAATTTCTCCACAGGTAGGTACTGGCAAATTAATGATGCAGCTTCAGGCTCGAGGGCTAATGTCAAATGCTGTGGGGGAATTCCAGCCTTCAATATATTTACAGAGAAAGACACATACAGAAAGTACTTAACACATATTATAAATCAACATCATGTTAGCTATTGCCAGTCAGAACACTATGTTCAGAGGGTAGGAGCTGACATGCTCCACATTGGCGTTTCATATGAATGTTGGTCACAAACAGAAATTTATGAAAAAAAAGTACAATGTATAATAAGCACAAATAATAGTGATACTTCGTTATGACAACCTATTCCACGCATGGAACACTCGTTAAGAATCTTAAAGAATCATAAAATACTAGCATAGGTGAATATTTATAATATTAAGTATTCTCAGATACGAACGAATATTAAATTTATCGTAAATAGAATGCAGGTAAAAAATCCTCCCTGTGGTGAACACACGTCATCACATACATGTATGTGTTGATACGGCCCCGTTGGGCTGGCACTGTTTGAGGAAAATTTTATTTATTTCAATATATATTTCTTTCCATGCATGTTTGTAAATAGTTCTATAGTTACAAGGTCAATGGTGTTTTTACATAATATTATAAATGATCATTTAATAATCATTTGTATCTAATCAAACGGCAGGTAGCCCAAACTAAAAATTATTATACATATCTATATATTCGTTGTATATTCACTCGACACAAGTTACATAATATTGTTATTTTCTCTGGTATAATCCAAATGTATCTTTTATAAATATACAGAGAGCCTGCATATACATTATCCAACTATAAAAAAATATATAATAAATGATTTACTTCCAAGTCCATATGACTAAAATGTCTTTAATTAGAATAAACATCTACGCCAATTCGTCAGCAGCTTGTTCAAAAAAGAAGTCGGATACATTTATTTCCCTGTGTTTTCCATTGAATATTAATTTTATTTTATATGAAATTTCAGTTCTATCCTTAGTCTTCGGCATAATACTGCCTGATTTGTCATGCAACCAATTTACCAGAAAAGTATAAGGTATAGAGAAAATAAGATAAAAATAAAATTAGATAAAATTAACCATTTTAGCAGCTTCTCTCATAAATCCTTTAGCAGTATCATCCCATATTGCAGGCACAGTCAACACCCATTTTATCTCATCATCCTTTGGCACGTAATGTTTATTCTCCAATATTTTCATCAGATGGTCTTTCATGCATTTGATGGATTTGCTAAATACTGTAAGGGCAGGTAACTCTTTACCGGTCTGATCAGCTATCATTGTTGTCTTCTTAAGTCCCTTAAAATTATATGTTAATTGTTTTCTTTACATTAATCTTGTATATTAGGCTATTAAAATTTTGAAAGTGGAAAGAGACTTAAGATAATTTATGTAACATGCATATTTATTCGACCCTCATTCTTCAATAATAAAGGATTTTATACACAAACCGGAAGAAATCATTGTAATTACAGAGCATGTCATCCCTTAACTTTGACTGCTTTGTACGTGTTTCAATTATCTAACATACAGAGTTATAGTTATTTCCTTTATATAGAACGAAGATGACACCACTTGTATCAAATTTGAAAACAAGCTAACTGCTTGATAATTTGGTTTTAGAGTATACTTTTTACATGGTTTAATAGTACAACCTTTAAGTGAATTGGTCTATATCGGAAGGTCTGTAATATAATTTAAAAAAGGCGTTGAAAGTGTTTAGAATTAGACATCACAACAAACCATGAACAAATTATACTTGGAAGTTGTTGGCAAGAGTAAGATACATGATCTGATATGACATACATTGTATATTATATAGCAGATGATAATATGTTATAGAACAACATACACATGTATTATTATTCTTCATATAACTGTTCATTCTAAATCGCGTAAACCCTTACCAACTTTTTGTTCAAGCAACATTTTATAAGAAAAACCAAATGCTACATTTCTTATTTTTGCATCAATATTTGAAATACTTATGAAAGGTGTGTCCGTTGAAGACCTTTTTACTTTAATGATAATTCACAGAAAATAAAATATTTTTAAAAATAAAAGACAAAATAAAAGTAATACAACAAGAAATATTTACTTTCGTATCATGTAAATGCATCTTGAACCTCCAAAAGTAGTACCAGTCCATATTGTCACCATCCATACATAGCTCAGCATATTTATCTTCTGCAATATACCCGAACGAATCGATATCCTGATTCCTGTCTAAGAGAAGGCACGTGGGCGTTTTCATTGACGCCAATTTGTTTGGTCCGTCATTCCATGATTGTGGGGAAAGAATTTTTTTTGTCGGATCTTCAGAATCATAATCGCCAGTAAACTGGAAGGCATATCCCGAATACGTCGTACCAAAATCAATTGCTACTACAATTGCGTAATAATTACCTGTCATCACAAAGGAATTGGATATTTCGTTTAGTTTCTGCGATTTATCTTGTTAAACCTGTAAAAAATGCAACTTTCATTGTTCCCTTTTTACTCCGAACAGAGGTTTCCTTGAAAATTCGTAATTTGTAATTTTAGATAAAACGGAAAGGTTTAAGATGAATAAATAAACATTATGTTTAATTACTATCAATAGTTATAACAATTATTTAATTATGTCTAATGTTTAATTATGAGCATGTAAGTTTGTGCCAATAGTAAATTGTTATATATGTTAGTTCTAATAAGACATTTTTTAAATGGTTGTTTTTATTTTGTTAATGGTTGTTTTTATTTTGTAAATGTTTGATCTAATTTTAATTGCCAACAAAATAATCTACATTATTGTAAACATACGACAAAACAATATTGCGCTAAAAATGTTAAAGAAAATTTAAGGAAGATTTTAAAAGGTTTAGAAATATTTTTGAAAATCTAAAAATCTTTTGTTTTAACTATGGATGATAAGAACATAAAAACTTAGTGTTTTTTTTAACTGACACATAAGTTTCTGTTAATAACTAGCAAAGCAATGTGTGTGCTCTTTTATAATAGTAATTCAATATAGTTAAATGATTGATTTTTCTGACCATGATTTATAACAAAAATAAGCTCGCTAAGTAACACTCACCATTAAATGTGTTCATTTCCAATATGAAATGGATTGCAATTCTGTTAGCTTCAAGTCTGATCTTTTCGTTGAAATTAGTTTGAACAATATTCTTCCTGGTTACAGATGGCAGAATAATCGGCGGTTCGATAAACTTTAAGACTTTCAAGACAATGGTATTATTACAAATAAGACAATAAACATAGGGTATTTATGTACGTACTTTAGTCTTTAGTTTGATTATCAGATATTAAAACAATAATTATGCCACACTATCAATGATTTTACACATTGTTTGAAACCTGAAATAATTCAATATAAACTTAAATAATCATACTCGGATCAAAAGACGTAAATGTAGTATACGTGTTTATGATTATCTAAACTTTAAATAAATCTTATATATATATATATTCAATTATTTGTGAGTGTTTTAAGACGGTTTGACTACAAATCAATATAAACTTTTGTCCACATCATATTAGGGCGGTATCTTATTGCTTTTAATTTTTTATTTTTTAATAAAGATTTTCTGCAATACATTCCGTTAATCATTCATTTTTGTAAAATGAGAAGTATAAATTCTTCCGATTTTTTTTTCAAAATAAAAGAGGCAATTATAGATGAACAGTCAAGTTAAGACAAGCTAGATATTTTTAAGTTCAGTACTCTTACGTGAAGGAAAGTCCCTATTTTTAATTATAGTTCCATTAAAATTTATTTAAAAAAGATTCCAACAGCCACCAAGACAAAAGATATAAAAAGTCAACATTACCCCCCCCCCCCCACTCACACACACACAGCAAAGCCCTTTCCTCCACCCTCCCAAACCAAATATAGCTTCACAGTTTTCAATAAACCAGATGTGGTCAAAGTTATTTCACACACAAGACGATTTTTGTGTTTTTGAAATTATATTAAAACAACGTTTCTTAACACGAACATTGTAAGGTGACATATTCAGGAACATAAGGCATGAAGCGGGCGTCAAAGTAATGTATGCGCGACCAACCACTTAAAAATGAATAAATAAAACAAAATAAAAACTGGAAAATCCATGTCTTTGTCTAAATAATGTAAAGCATGTCTCCGCAGTATAACTCCAAATTTACAATTATGTATAATTCGCACAGGAACACGTTTCTAACTGGACTAAACAGTGTCTGTCAAAATTTTGTCATTTATACCGTCACATCTAAATGTTGGTCATAAAAAAAGTCAATTATGCCTTAAAAAGAACATTCAGAACGAATTTCTTTTTTTTAAATATAATTATATTGTCTAAACTTTATTTATTTTTTGTTAGATTATTTTGTTATCTTTAACATTATAATTTTGTTGATTAATTGTTGTAACCAACTGATTGTCATTGACAAGGACACTCTCAAAAGCCAAAGAGTCAGTTCGATATATCTTAAGTTAAAAAATCTGTTTTCATCTTTAAAAGTAGAATAATCTTCGCACATTATTGAGTTCGTTGCGGATTTATCTTCATTACAAGAAGAAACTAAATTGTCGGCCAAAATATAAAATCTAACCATAACAATGCTTTGTGTAGTGAACCTGTATACACACTAGTGTCACAACCGTTCTTCATACACCGATCCTCTTTGTTATCAGAAGGTTGACAGTCAATAAATTAAGTAGATAATAAATCATTTTGATCGGCTTTTAACTTTAATGTAGGCAGTGCTGAATTAAAAAATGCGTATATATCTTAAATCTTGAGACCTTATTAACTGTATATCAATCTGTGTGTAAAAATATTGACGTAATTTTATCTATACCGACCGAACAATTTTTTTTTATACTTTTAAGGAATATGAGCAATCGTTTCTCAAATTTCATATTATAATAATATTGCATAAACTTAATGTTGAAAATTATCTATGAAATCAGTGTTCTTAACAATTCTTGACAATTTTGCAGAAAACTTGTCAAATATTTTCAAATGAACCATCTGATACCTTATATTTAGAAAAGCCCACTGTTTTCTCCTAAGTTTTAACTCATAGTTTTGTAGAAATAGTTTAAAGCAAAAATAAGTCTCGGAGTAAGAATTTGAATAAAATCATTAAAATGAACGAATATTTCTGATGCGGTCTGGACAAGAACAATTTTTAGATGCTATGAGATTTTATTTCGCCCGGATAAATGTTTAACACCAGATATAAAAGTGAAAAGCTCCACACCTTGCGAGCGACATATTTCAACTTTCAGAAATTAACGGAATACAGAATTTTTGCTGCACAAGAAGAGATTTTATTATTGAAACCAAAAATAATTTATCTCATCATTCTAATCATAAGTAATGAACTTTCATTTGTTTAATGGCATTGTATCTGTTACCAGTATTGGTATATATTTCTCTAAAGAGCAATTAATTTCTTACATATTTTTGCGTCTCGTAATTTGTTTCTCACAAAGGACAATATATTATTGCAACCCGTGTCTGTCAAATTATGACGAAAAGATGTTTTTGTAAAGTATTGAAATATGTGGAAATGTCCGAAGATTTCAAGAGGTCCCGGAATACAAATAAAAAACCTACCATTATCGCCTTTTTCCTTAATATAAGTCAAGAAAATAAGTACAATTCACTTTCCGTTACAGTTTAAAAAGTCGACTTTCAAAGAATAAAATACGTTCGTTGAACGCACTGTGAACTATTGCGGAAAAATAACTTTATGTGTATTTAGTATTTATTTTATGTGGTATTTTAGGTGCTTACTACTAGTATTTCGTTTTCAACTGTACAGATGAAACATACAAAACAAACTTAGATAAGGACAGATAATGTTCAACATAAACACAACCAAGCAGAATAAACTAAAACGATATCAAATAATAAAATGCACACATGAATTGGAATGCAAATATCACTTAAACGAAACTATGAAAGCAAGACACTCAATAAAAAATTAAAAATTCACCCAGATATTTTGCATACTAAATTCATTAAATTTGATAATTAAACAATGATAAAGTGGACACCAATGTATCAAACTTTATGTATAATTGTCTGTTTTTGTAATGAAAACTACACCTCGTTGTACACGAATATGACTTTTCAAATGACTTCACATTATGTATTTATATATACTGGAATTGAATTTTCAGACGGGTCTATACGTTTCAGTAGTACACATATGTAAACAGTTTTCTGGCATAAAGGACATCGATGTCATTGTTACAACCAACATATTGATAGTTTTACTCAAGCATCGTAAGCTTTGTTTGGCACGTATTTTTACTCTCTGTTTCCATTGCTTTAATACTCAGTTCGGTGTCTCCAAAAATATAGTCAACCTCAATGCTTAAAATCTTTTTCTTGGGATTAGCGTACTCAACATCAAGCCGTCCCAAAGGTTGACATGTATCATCATCAGTATACAGCGGGTCTTCAGCTGTTGAAAAGAATACACGGAAGGCGCATGATGTTGCTGAAGGTTCTACAGTGTCGTACGTTTTTTTAACATGATGGCCAACTTCAACCTCTGTACCTATGTCAATGAATTTAGAGAAAACATCGTCGCATCTACTTACGCCAGCATATGTTTTCATCTTTCTTTTGTCATATTTAGCTTCATCAAATTTGGGACTGATTGCAACACCGTAAGAATAACGAAGAATGCGGGATGTGATGTTGCCTGGTTGTTGTCCATAAACAACAGCACCTTGCACCACAGAAATACCTGCATCTTTTGGCACGAGAACCTTTCGGCCATTCGTGTCATGGAACTCCTTTTTTATAACATCTTGTACATACGCTGATTCTGAGAAGCCTCCAACCATAAGAATTAGAGATACCTTCTGACCAGCTTGTGTTGTATCAAGTATCTTCTTCATGTGGCTTACGATCTTGTCTGTCGCTTTCCTAAACAAAGCCTGCATCAGAGCTGGCTTGAACTTTGCTTTCTCGCCAAGAAACGAAATATTTTTATCCTCGTTGGCATCCTTTACGAGCATTTTGAAATCTTTATGCCTATATTTGTTGCATATCTCATTCAGAGCGACAGGTATCTGCATCTTGACGTGATCAGTTGTGGACAGGCTGACATTACGTTTGACCGACTCGAATTCGCGCATCATATTTAGATAGTCGAATGTCTCTTCCTTCATATATTTTGCAAGGACAGGACCACCAATTATCTTACTGATAAGAGCAATAAAGGCACAATCTACTGATGTTCCTCCCCAAGGCCCCCCACTTGCTCGATACACCTCTTTAAGTTTTCCGTTTGCAACCTTCTCATGAACTGTTATATCAGCAGTGCCGCCTGAAAATGTAAAGTAATATATAAGCTTTCCATTACAATTAATAAAAAACGAATTGCGGTATATTGTTCAAGAGCGCTTACAGGAAAACGAAAATATGGTTGAAAGAGCGATAAAAAATCTATTATTTACCTCCAAGGTCAACAATCATGTACGTAGTCCCTTGTTTGGCATCTGAAAATTTGAGTTGTCCTCCAACACTGAATCTCTCTACTGGGAGGTACTGGCAAAACAATGATGCAGCTTCGGGTTCAAGTGCAATGGTCAAATGCTGTGGTGGTATTTCAGCCTTTGGGTGTAAATATGAAATTAAGGAACAGCAATCAACGATTTCAAGTATTTAAGTATTAAAAAGCATTATTGAGAGGTATCTTTAATTAACAGGTTTTTGCAACCGCTATTTTGCATTTACAATAGCACACATTGGAACATTACGAACACATAACCTACCATGCGATGAAACATAGCTAATTAAAATTTCTCCTGAATGTTCTTACACCAAAAGTATTAATTATGATATACAAACATCTGATACATTTTAATAATATGTGCTGTCTCTTGCAACTTAATTTACATATAAAATGTTCATATAATTGTTTCTTAGTGAAATTATGTGTTAATTTCGTTGTCATCATGTTGAGCTTAATTAGTTATATATTTCAAAAGAAAGACTATCACAATGGTTAGAGCTAAATAAAAAACACATGAACGATCAATTTTCACATGTGTCCCCTGATGATAGTGATCTCTATACGTCCTAGCAACTTTCCAGCTATTGTGCCGTCATCAGTAGTAGACAGGCTGACATTACGTTTCGTCAGCACCACACAAATAACTTACAGGCCAAAACGCATTTTTCAGTCAAGGGCCATACTCCGTTATAGGCATTTAAACGGATACCCAGTGTAATATGCGAAATTACTTGAACTACCGATCATTACTTGAAAACTTCATTCGAACGGCATCAGTGTTCAAAGAACAGTAGTCCGTACAGACTAAAAATCAGTAAAGGGCCATAGGCATAATTCTAAATATATAACTGAACCGAAAAATGCCGGAAATTTGCTCAACTGGACTTGATACATTATGATACTGATCATTCCTTAAAGTTTGGATGAAATTACACTTGTAGTTTCTGAGGTGTATTCCGGACATGTTTTATGACGGACGGACGGACAGACAGAGAGACAGACGACGAAGAAGTGATCCCTATATGTTGCCACTTCTCTGTATCAGGCGACACAAAAATGTGTTAGAATGATATTAAGAAATGCTTAAAATATGACAAAAATCTGAATGATATTTAAAGTTTTTTTAATAAGTCACGTAGGTTATTATTGACTATTTTGCGAACAAGAATACAGAGAATAAAAGTAAAAAAAATCAATTATGGTAAAAACAATCTAAGCTTCAACGTTTGTGTACTTCGTGTACATTTACGCCTAGATGGACATAATGTCACTTTAAATAAATAAATTATATAAATCATAAATTAACAAGTTACCATTTTAGCAGCTTCTCTCATAAATCTCTTAGCAGTATCGTCCCATATAGCAGGTACAGTTAACACCCATTTTATGTCATCTTGTTGTGGTATGAAATATTTTTTTCCCAGTAATTCTATCAGGTGGTCTTTCAGGCATTCAATGGATTTACTGAAAACTGTAAGGGCTGGTAACTCTTTACCACTCTCGTCAGCTATCATTGTTGTCTTCTTCAGTCCCTTAAATTAAAACATAACGCTTTACTGAATATAACAAGAGCCACCGCCCGGTGGGGGCAACGCTCGACTTTTTACTTTTTCTGAAAGCAATCGAAGAAAAAATTCAATAATTTGACCTTAAAAGCCAAGGTCATTTATGAGTGAAGGTCAAGGTCTGTCTTGTTTTTTTAGAGGACTATCCTTTGAGATTATTATGTTCAAGTTTGAAGACAATCCATTCAAAAATAACAAAGTTACAGCTGATAATAGCCAAAAAAATGAAAATTTCAATAATTTGACCTTCAAAGGTCAAGGTCATTTATGAGTGAAGGTCAAGGTCTGTCTGGTTATTTTTAAGGGATATCCTTGAGGATTCAAGTTTCAAGACAATCCATTAAAAAATAAAGTAACAGCCAATAATAGCAAGAACAAGCAAAATTTGGACTTTTGACCTTGAAGGGTCAAGGTTAGTGTAGTCTACTGAAAGGTCTTGTCCAAAGGGCTGTTGTGGCCCAGTATGAGGACAATACACCAAAAACTAAAAAAGTTATGATCCAGGTACAAGTTTGAGAACGGCAACGGCATCGGCAACGATTGCCAGGACTATAACAATACCTCTACTTTTTTGTTTCAACAAAAGTCGAGCTAAAATTGGTGTAGAAGAAATATTAGAATTTTCGAATAAACGTGTTTAAAGATTTGGCCCATATTTTATAATTTTAATGTTTATAGAGCTCAGTATTTTCCTTCCTTATAAGACCAAAAGTCATCGAGTTTAATCTTGTTCGCTATTTTTTTCAAAGGCTGAAAACGTTCTGTGCTGCCATACAGCATATGTAGACTTTTCTTTATGCTTACGTCACATTACAAGCGGGCACCGGTCGATATAGAGGGATCGATGGGACACCGTTGATAATTTGAGAACACTTGGCATCTTCTTTCCGATCGATATTCTTAAGTTAATCGGCAGAGTATCGCACGGTAAATGTCCGATTGCCTTCCAATATCCTACCGGTTTACAGCCATCGTAGAGTGACTGTAAAGTATACGGGGAAGCCGTGCGTAATCCGACCAGATGATTGTTGTTTGTTTGTTTATTTGTTTGTTTCATTTAACGCCTTTTCCCAACGGTATTCAATCATATAGGCGGGTAGTTTCCTAACCATCGTTCCTGGAGAATTACATTCGTATGGCATGTTGTCCCTCTTTCCTGCCGTTCTTCATGTCCCCTCTTTTGCTGGTCTTTTCCCTTGTTTTCTTGGTTAACTTGCCCTCTTCCCCTCTGACTTCTTTCTCACCTTTTGACATAATTGTTGTGTATTTATGTTATGTGTTTCTTTTAGTTTCTTCTATTTGGTCTTTTTCAACTCAGGTGGTTCCAGTATTCCTTCTTGAATACTGTCTAATCACCCTTAGGATATGTTGCCTGCTTTTAAATTGTTTTTTGACGACTTATCTGTGATATGCAGGCTTCGTAACCTCAAATCCCTTTTTAAAATTCCATTTTATTTGGTTCCGCCCATTGTTTTCTCGTTTAGGGTAAACGCATTTTTAGCTCACCAGAGCCGAAGGCTCAGAGTGAGCTATAAGTATCAAAGGGAGATGCTCCGGCGTCCGTCGTCATGCGTCAACAATCGTCTTCTTCTCTGAAGCTACTAAGCAGATTTACTTCAATTTTCTTTAATTTGGTCTGTAGCATCCTTGTGACAGTCACACTTGAATTTGCTCATGTCACTCCAATTGGCCCCCTCTAGGGGTCAGCAGAGCTAAAAATAGAAAAACATCTTTCAGAACTAATTGATGGATGATCACCAAACTTTGTCTGTAGCTATCTTGGGTAGTCTTTTATCACGTTTGCTCATATTTATTTCATTGGCCCCTTTTAGGGGTCTCTAGGGCTTTAAATAGTAAAACCTTTAAACATCTTCTTCTACAGAACTAATTGATGGATGATCACCAAACTTTGTCTGTAGCATTCTTGGGTATTCTGTTATCCAGTTTGCTCATATGAATTTGATTGGCCCCTTTTAGGGTGCCGCTAAAGTAAAAATAGAAATACCGTTAAATGTCTATTTCTAGAGAACTAATTGATGGATGATCACCAAACTTTGTCTGTAGCATTGTTGGGTAGTCTTTTATCAAGTTTGCTCATATTTTGATTGACCCCTTTTAGGGGTCCCTAGGGCTAAAAATAGAATTTTTTTTAAATATCTTCTTCTACAGAACTTTTTGATGGATGATCACCAAACTTTGGCGGTAGCATTCTCGGGTAGTGTTTTATCAAGTTTGCTCATATTAATTTGATTTGCCCCTTTTAGGGGCCAATAAAACTAAAAATAGAAATACCGTTAAATGTTTACTTGTAAAGAACTTATTGATGGATGATCACGAAACTTTGTCTGTAGCAATGTTGGATAGTCTTTTATCAAGTTTGCTAGGCCCCTTTTAGGGCTCTCTTTAGCTAAAAATAGAAAAATCTTTAGATATCTTCTTACATAGAACCAATTGATGGATGATCACCAAATTTTGTCTGTAGCATTCTTGGGTAGTGTTTTATCACGTTTGGTCATATGAATTTGATTGGCCCTATTTAGGGGTCGCTTAAGCTAAAAATAGAAATACCTTTAAATGTCTATTTCTACTTAAAATAAAAGATTGTAAATGGGACTTGAAAACGTTAAATACAATCTGCCTGTGTGAAAACGCAGAACTTTTAATGAGAGAATATATGTGTGTAATTAAGTTTCTTTCTGTTTGCCAATGGCTGCGCGTACATGCGAGTCCTTAAGAACAGTATTAGTTGTTTTAGATTTTTAGGACAGCGCAAGATACATATACAACAAGAAGAACCAATTTCAGAAATAAATATGAAAAACAAGATTAACAAGGAAGGGCGGAGTTCAATGAAGGAAACCCGACACAGGACACAGGACCGCTGGCAAGGAGCCCAGCATGACACCAAACAAACCAGGAGAGTGCACAAGGCAAAGCCAAGAAGCTCTTCCTTCTCATGCTATCCAAGTGTTTATGCACTTATACACAGGACCTCAATTTTAAAATAGAGAAAAACAGAATTCCTAAATAAAGCCCAACACGGCAAAATTGAAAATGTTGTAGGCTCGGTTTGATTGAGCCTGTTCATGGAAGGTACTGGAAAGGGCAAGCTACCGTCAACGCCCCCTAGCCCCGGCTTAAGCAGAATTCAACACGAACTGGTACAATTTGGAATTTAGAAACATCCGAAAATGTGCTCATATGACGTTAAGCCTCGACCAAAATAGCTCACAAAAATATTAGTTGGCCATTCCGGGAATCGAACCCACAATAACGACATTTCAAATAGATAAATACAGAATCCCTAAAGAAAGCCCAACACGACAAAATCGAAAATGTTGCCGGCTCGGTTTGATTGAGCCTGTTCATGGACGGTACTGGAAAGTGCAAGTTACCGTCCTACCCCCCCCCCAGCACCGGCTTAAGTAGAATTCAACATTTAAACATGAAATAGTAAAATTTTGAATTTAGAAACATCCGCAGATGTGTTCATACGGCGGTTATCATGGAACCTTCAATATGACACCTTCACCGTGCCATTCCATGAAAAGCGGCGTATTGTCCCCAAGTAATAAAAAGCGTGTGCCCTAAACGAGAAAACAATGGGCGGAACTAAATAAAATGGAATTTTGAAAGAAGATCAGAGGTTATGAAGCCTGTGTATCACAGATAAGACGTCAAAATACAAATTTAAAAAGCAGGCAACATATCCTAAGGGTGATTCAACATTATTCAAGTAGGAATATTGGAACCACCCAACTAGAAAATGCCGAAAAGTTGAAACTAAAAATACCACAAGCACAACAATAATGTCGTGCTGAACGATCTTCAAGGATCGAAAATATAACATCATTGATTAAATGTACGGAGAGACCTTTTACAGCCGCCACACGGCACAAATAACACGGATGTGATCATAAAATAGATAAATACAGAATCCCTAAAGAAAGCCCAACACGGCAAAATCGAAAATGTTGCAGGCTAGGTTTGATTGAGCCTGTTCATGGACGGTACTTGAAAGTGCTTTATAGGCCCGTTTTAGTTGATATTATTTCACATTACATGTCCCACTCCTTTCACCCTTGTGTCCACTCCGGGGTTTGTTTGGTGCCTTCTGGGTGCCATGCTTGGGTGTGTCGGGGGCCGCGTCCTGTGAACGTTGCCTTTGCCTTGTTGATTTTTATTCTTGTTTTTTTTGCGATTTAACCGACTGAACTCTGCAGACTTGTTAACGAGAGAATGATATTTGGTGATGGTGTTTGTGATTAACACTCCAGATCACGGCAGTAATCAAATTTGCCAGAGCGCAGTTCAGCCACGGCATCCTTCCTTGACAGTCTGTCAAGCAGGTATACAGTCATAATCTCCTTCACTTTAGCAAGGGATTGATAAATTCTGTACAACGAAGGTGAACTTCGCCGTCCGATAATTGAACACGGGTCGCCTAGTTCACAGTCCTATGTTTGTTTAATATTCCAAACGCTATCCTTAAGGGCACCTAAAGACCATACGTGCAAAATAATGCGTCTAACCGGGTCCCAGCCAGTAACCTGCCGAGTCGCCTTCGGTGACCGCTCGGATATCACTCGAAAACTGGAGGATTACTTGGCGCTCAGAATGTGAAAACTTTCACCGACATACAACCGATACCAAAAGGTGTCCGGCCGGGTCTCGGAGGGTATTTCATCCTGTCTGCTGCGGTAAGCTAGTGATGTACCGAATGCCGCAAGAAAATAACTCCACGCTAAAATTCTCCGATTACCCGCACGGTTTCTCACCGATGACTTGACACCGGAGGGTCACCGGCCGGGAACCGTAAAAAAATTGACTATTTTAGCCCGTCACGACATGGATATCCCATCGTAAACCTGATCAGAGTGTAATGTGACGCAGGATTTAATAATGAAAACAAAAAGAACAGCAAAAAGAAAGCATTACTGAAAATACAAAATAATAAATGATAAATACGTTTGTATCATGCAGCTGCATTTTGAACCTCCTAAAAAAGTACCAGTTTTTGTTGTCACCATCCATACACAGATCAGCATATCTGTCTTCTGCAATGTACCCGAACGAATCTATATCCTGATTCCTGTCTAAGAGAAGGCACGTTGGCGTTTTCATTGACACCAATCTTGTCGGGCCGTCATTCCAAGATTGTGGAGAAAAAATGCTTTTTGTCGGATCTTTAGAATCATAATCGCTAGTAAGCTGGAAGGCATAGCCCGAGTACGTCGTACCAAAGTCAATGGCTACTGTCATCAAGTAATTATCACCTGCCATACTAAGGTATTTGAAAAGAACCTCTTCACAAATGCTTGGTTTTTATCCTGGCGTGTCTAAACCTGTAAAAAAGTATTTATATCTAAATAAAAATCAAGCTTAGCGAATATTTTATTGTAGCCATTTTTCAAAAGCAAGCTGACTTTAATTTCAAAAAAATAAATATATACAAGCATTTATTGTGAAAAAAATAGGAAAAAAGGAAATACTTCCTTCCCCCATCCTTCCACCACTTTCATATGATTATAATAATGTATATGTAGAGGTTCATTACCATGACATTCAAGAATCATTATTTATTTCAACGTTTAGAAACCAAAGAAGCCACAAAATGACAAAAAGCAAAAATATGTCTGAAGAAAGAAGAACAGTTTAAAGCAATCAACTTTCGTTTTGGAAAATCATCTAAAATAAATGTACTTTTTACTTTCCCTTCAAAAAAGAGCGTGTCTTTAGCATAATAAATTGCAATGACCGTTATCTTATTCCAGATATTCTACTCCAAACAGTTTCGTGTGTTCAATAAATTTAAACGATTGAACACTTTTTATTGCTGATAAACTTCCTGGTTTTTTACGTAATTCCAAGTATTGAAAGAGGATGTTTATTGACTACAGATACGGAGAAATGCATGGCTAGTTATATGCTGACTGTATATAATAATCGTGACATAAGATCAAAACTAGGTATATTTGTGAGCGTGGCTATAGATAAAATATGCATGCAAATAACTACAATATCCTTAACTTTGGACGGGTGCAAACCATTTTCAAAGTGAAAGTGAATAGTTCTACTGAAATACAACTTAGGCTGGAGTTTTCCTCAGAATGGCGATAATAAATCAGATTAGCTTTTAAGTCCTTTAATTTCTTTGCATATTTTTTTAACATTTATCGGAGCTATTAAACATCACTTCATATACCTAATTAGATATATCGTGATTGAATCGAATAATTATATATATTATGAAGTCTTTATGACACTTCTGCAATTCATAAGCACGACTATAATAGGTAAGATACCTGGGAAATGGCTATACACTTAACAAATCTTATAAGTGTGCATGCATATATGGTCTCATAGGTGTATCAATATTTGCCCGATCATGCTGAAATTTTCAATAAATACAGAAAAGAGACAGGCTATTATTTTTATTTGTTTTCTTTTTTCATTCAAGATAAATTTTAAGATACATTTCTAAAAAATGTGAGTGCGAAATATTGATGAACAAAAAATTTATAAGGACATAAAAGGTGCAAACTTATAAGATTTGTTAAGTGTAGAGTAGTTTCAAACAGGAACATATTAAAATATTCCAAGAAAAAGGTGTTGATGTTAAAAGAAAATTAACTTAGTTGTGAAGATGTTGAACTACATTGATCATAGAATCATTTTTTCTGACGTCATTTGGTTGATTGACGTCACATCATATGTAAAAAATATAGCATATGCAATGTGTTAGTAACGAGGATTTAACACTGACAACAATGAGGGATGATTCTGTTAAAAAGAATGTCGAGGCCGTTAGGCTGAGACGATTTGCTTCAAGAAACATCCCTTAATATCGCATCAGCCAGTGTTAAACCGCCATTACTAACGAGTTTTATCTATTATAACTGTTTTATCGCAATTTCATATTTTTTGTAACAGAAATCAGCAAACAAAATTCCTATGATCAGTGATTTTCCATCTCTTGTGCCATTTCCCGTTCGGTTGAAATGTAAACCCTAGAAAAAATGAACCAATACCAGCTAATAAATCTTTTTTTTTTTGCTACTGGGCAGGTGTGATACCCCCAAGTCTAGCCTCTGTAAGAAAAACTACACTGATATATACAAAATGAAAAAAACAACACTCTCATCTGTTATAATATAAAGTTGAGTTTTTCCTGTATGAAAAAAACTGCATTGTAATATATCAATGCAATTTTCAAATTCTCATTGAAAGTGTCCTGAATATACTGGGTTAGTAAGAACAAGGAAAACGTTCCAAACTATGCAAAAAAGTCACATAATGCATTTGACTGCCCAAAATGTTTGATAGAGGAAATGCATGAATCGTGTTAGCATTACTAACATATGCCATATTATTTGTTACTACAACACTAACTGAAGGTTTGATCTTAAAACTTTACGTGAACAGATAGGTGAGTATAAAACAAAACATAGTGAAAACAAGTGTTACTGAAAGATATATTTTCGATTGCATGTCACATATTTATCATTTTACAATAATTTTGATACAAATAAGATCTGTTTTCACAGTTTCAATTATTTTTTAGAACATTCAAAACGTATTTCAAACTTTTTTATATAGTTATATAGTATATTTGTTTATAAGTTTATTTGTAGTAAGTTTGTGTAGGTTTAAGGTAGTTCCTTGTGGATGTAATTTCATTTTAAACCAAAATGTCGGCCAAATAATAGAATTTACCGTATAAATGCTTCGTTTGACTGATCCTATAAATAGACACTGCTGGCATACATTTGCACCGGCTTCAGTAGAATTGAACTTTACACATAGAAGTACTGATCTTCATTCACCGGGTATCAGAACGTTGACAGTCAATAAATTAGACAGATAATAAATCATTTTGATCAGCTTTTAAACTTTCATGTAGACAGTAATGAATATCATCATATGCGTATTTGACCTAAATCTTGAGACGTTATCTACTTTTAGTTTAGATTGTATATCAATATGTGTGTAATAATTACTGACGTAATTTTATCTTACAATGTAAGTACTGCATTATGTATGATACTGGCAGGACAATAATCCTGATACTGTTAAGGAATATAAGCACATTTCTCATCAACGTTAAAATTTAATCTATGATATCAGGGTTCTTAACAATTCTTGACAATTTTGTAGGAAACTTGTCAAATATTTTCAAATGAACCTTATGATACTTCTGATAATTGGGGAAATATATGGAATTGCTAATTGTTTTCTATTTCTATTGAAGTTTGAGTGATAGTTTTATATATAAATCAGATATTCCTTTCGTATACAGTTTTGAATATCCGGTGCGTATAAAATGATAAGGATATTTAGAAGCACTGCAAAAACCCTGAAGAAAATAAAAAATTACATGATATCAATATTTAAATATAAGAATGCAAAAACATAATCAAATTTAAAAAAAAGCGAAATGAAACTGAACAATAAGTCAACATGACATGCGTACGTTGATCAAAACTTTATGTCTGGCTACATAACATTCTGATGATGACGTGAAAACGATAACAATGATGTTGTTGATGTAGCATGTTGACATTTCAAAGTTTTTAAAGCTTTGTTTTCCGAGTTACTATGTTTCCTTTTTTCACCCGACTGTCTTTCAACTTTTAGATAACGCGTCAATTGCTTAACTAAATACAGGCAATGCCAACGTGTAAACAATAGTAAATTCTTTTGACATCTTTACAAACCAATTCAATATGATTTATGTCATACAGTTTCAATGAATACCAAGGTACGGAATATCTTTCTGCTATCAATTACTCGAGCATTCTGAGCTTTGTTTGACATGTACATTTACTATCTGTTTCTATTGCCTTAATGCTTAATTCAGTGTCTCCAAAGATATAATCAACCTCGATGTCTAAGATACGTTTGTAAGGATTAGGGTAATCAACATCAAGCTGCCCTAAAGGTTGACAGGACACATCATCAGTATACATCGGGTCCTCGTCTGTTGAAAAGAACACCCGAAAGGCGCATGATGTTGCCAAGGGATCGATTGTTTTGTAGCTCTGTTTAACTTGATGACCAACCTCAACTGCTGTACCTATGTTAATGAACTTAGAGAAAACATCGCCGCATCTATTGACACCAGCAACTGTTTTCATCTTGCTTTGATTATGTTTTCCTTCCTCAAATTTGGGACTGACTGCAACACCGTAGGAATAACGAAGAACGCGGGATGTGATGTTGCCTGGTTGTCTACCATACACAACAGCACCTTGGACCACAGAAATACCTGCATCTTTTGGAACAAGCACCTTTCGTCCTTTTTTGTCGTGAAACTCCTTTTTGATAACATCTTGTATATACGCTGATTCAGAGAATCCTCCGACCATAAGTATGAGAGATACCTTCTTACCAGCTGGTGTTGTATCAAGGATTTTCTTCATGTGGCTTACAATTTTGTCTGTCGCTTTCTTAAACAAGTTCTGCATCAAAACTGGCTTGAACTTTGCTTTGTCACCAATAAATGTAATGTTTTTGTCCTCCCTCGCCTCTTTAACCAGCGTTTTGAAGTCCTTGTTCCTCGCGCTGCTGCATGTTTCGCTCAAAGAGACGGGCATCTTCATTTTCACGTCATCAGTAGTGGACAGACTGACATTGCGTTTGACCGACTCGAAATCGCGCATCATGTCTAGATAGTCAAAGGTTTGTTCCTTCATAAATTTTGCAAATACTGGACCGCCAATAATCCTACTGATTAGAGCAATATAAGCGGCGTCTACAGATGTCCCTCCCCAAGGCCCTCCACTTGCCTGATACACCTCTTTAAGTTTTCCATTTTCAACCTTTTCATGCACTGTTATATCAGCAGTACCACCTGCAAATTTCAATTTTACACGATTAACTCAGTTTGATTCACAGATAATACTTTCATTATTTATTCATCACTTACTTCTTTAAACAAATTATAAAAGATTTTTTTATTAACTACCATAATATCATATTTACAAGTTGGACGGATTGATGTATAATGAACTGGATTTGATAATTTACCTCCAAGATCAACAATCATGTATGTTGTTCCTGGCTTAGCATCTGAGAATTTGGTCTGTCCGCCGACACTAAATTTCTCAACAGGAAGGTACTGGCAAAACAATGATGCAGCTTCAGGTTCAAGAGCTATTGTCAAATGCTTTGATAGGATTCCAGCCTTCATTGTGTATACAAAAATGTAAAAATATGGTTATGTTTTTTATCACATTTATAGACAATTAACACTCTAAATATATCTTACATAATGCATAGATCCGTACATTACCCTAATATGTCTAATTATGATTTTACAATAAGAATTTCACCACAATGTATTGTAAACAGAAGAACATATGTCAATGTTTGTGGTTAAATCTATTGTTGTCCTCACTTAATGGATTTCAGATATAGTGAACAATCGGATAAAAGGAACATCCTCATTAGGTCTCATTTTTATCTTTATTTATATCATATTTAAATTTTCGTTATATGCTTATAGCTCAGAACTGGATATAATAAAATTAGAAATATTGCCACATACGACCATTTATCACCGTTTATAGCAAACTGAGAATATCGATTTCATTATTGCCTAGACAGTTTCAACACCTTTACAAATTTGGCACGTAAATACAGACCGATACTGATCTAGCATAATGTTTATATATTTAGAATTAAGAAGAATAATCTCGCGGCTTGACATTAAAATTAAACGAAATATATCATGAATGGCTTAAAAACACGTACTAAATTATAACTCAGAAATTTGTAGAACTTATATAATAATGAATTTATGTTTTGACTATGACAAATTGATAATTCAATCAAAATCAATCAAAAATTGAAACACAATTTATATTTCATCATATATAACACTAACATAATTGTGAAATAATATATTCAATTTATACCATGTTAGCGGCTTCTCTCATAAATCCTTTAGCAGTATCATCCCATATAGCAGGCACAGTGAGAACCCATTTAATCTCGTCATCTGTTGGATCAAAATTTCTCTTCCTTAGTAATTCTATCAGATGATCCTTAAGGCATCTGATGGATTTCCCGAACACTGTAAGGGCAGGTAACTGTTTACCTGTTTCGTCAGCTATCAGAGTTGTCTTCTTCAGTCCCTGTGAAATCACAGATTAGAACATGTCATATTTTAGCTGTACATAGTACATTATCATAGTATAACATAATGTTCAAAATTATTCTTCGTCATTTTTCCTAAAGGATTGACTTTAGATACGTTACTTTACATAACGCATGGATAATTTATCATCTTAAGAATAAAAAAATCACAAGCTATTATTCTTATTAACAGTGGCTATAAAATTGAAATAGACAAAGCGTAGTTCTACTAACTTTAAGGTATTTATCTAAAATCTATTGGATTTAAATTTTTCGCATTGATTAATTACAAATTTAAAAAAGAAAAGCGTTCTATTACATACAATATACATACTTATATTGTATCCGTAATGATACTGTATTATCAAAAATTACAATAAACATTTTTACTTAATGAACAATACAAAAAATATATACTTTTGTGTCATGCAACTTCATCTTGAACCTCCTAAAGTAGTACCAGTTCATATTGTCACCATCCATACATAGGTCAGCATATTTATCTTCTGCAATGTACCCGAACGAATCGATATCCTGATTCCTGTCTAAAAGAAGGCAAGTGGGCGTTTTCATTGACGTCAATTTGGTGGGTCCATCATTCCATGATTGTGGGGAAAGAATTTTTTTTGTTGGATCTTCAGGATCATATTCGCCAGTAAACTGGAAGGCATATCCCGAATACGTCGTACCAAAATCAATTGCTACCATCAGCTCGTAGTTACTGTTATCTGCCATATCCAGGGAATGTGGATACCCAGGGACAATAGTATTAAGTTGAGATTTGCACTAGTCTATTTTAGACTTCGATTGTTTCAACCTTTAATAAACAATGACAGGACAATTAATTTGTGTATTAATCAACATCACTTTATAAATAAAAACATTGCATTTAAAATTAGATTATTAAGAAACTATTCAAGCCTATTTTATTGTTTGTGTTGACTTTAAACGATGATTTTTTACAAATTCCTTGGTTACATCTTGGCGGTCGGTCCTTATATAATCAGATATTCATATTTTCTTCTTCGAAAGAGACGGACAACTGTTTTTAATTTCTGAATCGGCGGTGAGAAGCAAATGATCATTTGTTTCGATGTCCGAGATCAATGGACATTATGTAAATTAGCTGACTCGCCAGCCAGTTGCTAGACTGGGATAATCACTGGTGTTACATGTACCTAGTTTACACAAAGGAACACTTGGTTTTGTTTGTGATTCTGATTGTAAGCAATTGATCTAGCAATGAAAAGAAAATGCTTGGTTAAATTGTTTTCTTGCTAAAAACTGTAAAAGGTACATTGTCACGGAGAAAAATATCTTTGCCCTAGGATTTAACACAACACATACGACTTCAAATTCGAACGAAACATTAATTATGAATTAATTCTGCACCAGTCTTTTGTATAAGATGCTTAATTTAAAAACATGAACACACTTACAAACGTATATAACCATGAATGAAAATGTTTATAAACAAATTACCCTTCCTCCTTGTGATCTAGGTCAGTATAAATCAACTTTCGATTTAAACTATTATTATTTTAAAGATATTTTTACACTTTCTCTGCGATGAAAAAGTTTTACTTTGCGTAATCTTTCTTTAATTCTATGTATATTTATCCAGATGTTTAATAGTCTTATTATATTTCTACGACTGTGCAATTAAGAATTACTGTTAAACTTCCTGGTTTAATGATTTCCAAGTATTGAAAGAGGATGTTTGTATATTACAGGTACGAAGAATTACATGTGAAAGTCCGTTTAAGATAAAGACTGTACGATTAATACAAAATGTTTACGTGGTTGTTGCACATCTGTCATGTCTCACATAGTAAGGCTAAAAGACTCGCATTTAGGGCAGGAATCACGCTATCGCGTTCTGGTTTCAATATCTAACCCAAATGCATAAATGTAAGGTATATATCTTCAACAACAACAAACAATCAGATAAGCACATTTTGCATTACGTTTAAACCCTCCAAACTCGCAAAATGCGGTGACCACGTCAGATCGCAGAGATTTATGTTATAAATGTTTTTCAATTCGCGGCGAAGGGTCTGTGTATCGCCGCGAAAGTTAATAAATATAATATTATTATTGATGAACTCCTTGAAAATGTATTCAGGCTGTATTTGTAAATTAAAGAAAAACAACATGAGATTTTGGGTTTCAAATAAGTGGAAATATTAATGAATATGAAGAAAACATTAATATAATAAAAATCAAGTGCATGTAAAATGACGACACTTTAGAGCGATCAAAAACGAAAGAATGACAATTTATAACACTTCTTACTTTTTATCGCATAGCCCCTCTGTTACCCATGAGACCAGTCAGTACATTTTTCCTAAAAGTAATGCATATATTGGTCTAAATTGAAAAAAATGACTAGTCTATTTTAAACGCATGGAGAGTGATATATTTTGGCTACTGAATAAATTTACGGCAACTGTTTCTACGTGTTTCAGAAAAATAAGTGTTTATAGCAATCGTGATCAAATAAATAAATAAATAAATAAATAAATAAATAAATAAATAAATAAATAAAATAAATAAATAAATAAATAAATAAATAAATAAATAAAAACATAAAATAAATAAAATATATCAAACATTTTTTATCATGAGTGCCGAAATCAGAAATTGCCATGTTAAGACTCGGATAATATAAAGCAAAACAAAACAGTATACACATCTAAGGCTTTAACAAGAACATAAATATCCGAGCATTTTTTATAATTATAACATAATTAACACAACACTAAAGAATACTCACCATTCAAAATGATTTCTGTCTCATTTAAAATAGAATGGGCGGTTGAATGTTGATCCGTCCAACATAGGCCTTTTTCTCTGAAATCAGTTAAAAAATATTCTTCCTGGTTACAACTGATCTGAAATAGACGTGTTTTGCGTAATTGATTGAATAGAAAAATACAGTCAATCTAAGATAAACGATTACAAAGAATACCCATAAAAAGTAGTGCATTTCAAGAATAATGTATTGTACATAAAATATATTTTAAAAAACATAGATATTAATAAACAGATACTTATTGATATATGACACATTTACTTCAGCACTAATTCATTGATAATCTTAAACATTTACATATACAGAAAGGTAAGTATAAAACAAAAAGGTTTTTTCTAAAAGATATTTATTCAATTGCATGTCACATATTTATCATTAAAAATGATTTTGATTCAAATAACATCTTTCGTTTTCACAATATGATAGTCTGTCACGTTATCTGAATAGGGTTTTGATGATTTGTTTTGCGACGATAACTCCCTTCACATGATTTGAATTAAAACAGAGATATCTCATCGTTGAACAATGTTTATAAAATTCACGAACCAAAATTCAAGGACACATATCAGAAATAAAAAGAGACCGATAAAATCAAGTGGTTTTGTAATATAGTGATTTAGTATAGTGATTGCTCGTTGTTAAACATCATATTAAATACATAGATATGATCTCATATATATACACACACAAGTATATACAAGTTTTCAGTTATCAACAACAACAAAATAAACTTTATTTAGCTCAAGCAATGATTACAAGCATGTGAGCATACAGCGAATATTACATTTGAACAAAAATACCTTGTGAGGTCACGTGACAGATTGTTTGCTTAACGGGGTTGACAATAGTGATAGTGTGTTACTCCATTTATTTTTTTTGAAAAGGACTATAAATTCTTGTCTGGGAATGTTCCATTTTCGGATATTGGGTGGCTGAAACTAATTTAATAATCTACGCTTTTTAATAGTTATGTGAATTTTGAACATTATTAACACCCTTTTATATTGTTTTTAAAAGAAACAGAGTTTATTCGTATTGTATTTGTGCAGCCTGAATTAAATCGCTGCATCGAAACCGCGCTATACCCAAAAGGTAGTGTAATCGTCCGCTGTGTAAAGCCTTACCGTAAAATGTGTTAAGTAAGATAAATTAATTAATAGACGATTATCAACGAATGATTAGTTTAAATATTCGAAAGATGGATATAAAATGTTTCGAAGCATCTAGAAGTACTCACCATTTGATCAAAAAAGTATCAGTTTAGCAAATTTAGCAGAAGACTGAGAAATGTCATAACCTGATAATGAGTGTCACGTGTCTTCACAGAAGTAGAACATGTAAACATCAATTAAATAAGAATTTGCATAGTTATTGTATACTCGTGGAAAAGGATTAATTTGATTGTATACAACTGATAAACTACATCTATATAGGCATATTGACAGGTGTATTTTAATGTTATGAAAAAAAGCATGACCTATATTCAACATAAGAAAATACAAAACCTGACCTATATTCAACATGAGGAAAAAAGTGTAAACTAGAACTAGAGAAGTCAAGGAAAAAAAGCTTGACTATGAAAAAATAGAATAGAAAATGACCATATGAGTTAATCTGTATCAATGAAGTGACAGTTTGTATTAATTACAAAAAAAGAATTAAGAAAAAGGATTATAATATTTGTATATAAAAACTGTAGCAGTGACAAGGAAAAGCAAATGGAATAAAGAAAACATTAATACAGTAATGGTGTACAGATCCTATGACAATATTACCATTTTTACAGAGAAAATATTCATGTGATTCCTTACTGTTTAACCGTTTCTAAAATAATTTTAATAAATGTACATAGCTTTTTTGACTGCGTATTAAGTAGCTCTTTAAATTTAAGAGTGTTACATCTTCTTAAATAATAAGGTTTAATGTATAATTTTCTAGTCTGATTAAAAAAGGGACAGGTCAATAAATAGTGAAACTCATCTCCTATTTGGGTACTATTCTCATTTAAACACAGTTGACATATTCTTTCATTATAGTCTATATTTTGCCACCTTCTAGTTTCACATGGGAAGTAATGATTGCCGCATCTAAATTTAATAAAAGACAGCCAGTCAGACTTTTTTTGATTAAGTAAATAGCCCTCAAGGTCAATTGACTCTTTGAAAATTGAATAATTTAGTCCTTTAGTTGAGACTTGCATAGAGGCATGCCAGTTTTGATAATGCTGGTCTAATAATATTTGTTTTACTGTTTTTCCCAAATTTTTACTTTGGAGGTTATTTTGATTAATCCAAATATCATTTCGCCCTATTTCATTAAAAATGTTTTTTATTCCTTTTATCCATTTTGATTCAAAATTTGGCATTTCAAGCATATATTTATATATCTGATATGATAGTTATGCCCCCATTTTGAAAAAAAGGGGGTATATTGCTTTGCACTTGTCGGTCCGTCGGTCCGTCGGTCCGTCGGTCCGTAGACCAAATGGTTTCCGAGTAATAACTAAAGAACCCTTAGGCCTAGGAACTTCAAACTTGGTATGGTGATTGGTCATGACCAGTAGATGACCCCTATTGATTTTGGGGTCAAGGGGTCAAAGGTCAAGGTCACATTGACCTTGAAAGCAAAAACGGTTTCCGATCAATAACTAAAGAACCTTAAGGCCTAGGAACTTCAAACTTGGTATGGTGATTGGTCATGATCAGTAGATGACCCCTATTGATTTTGGGGTCAAGGGGTCAAAGGTCAAGGTCACATTGACCTTGAAAGCAAAAACGGTTTCCGATCAATAACTAAAGAACCTTAAGGCCTAGGAACTTCAAACTTGGTATGGTGATTGGTCATGACCAGTAGATGACCCCTATTGATTTTGGGGTCAAGGGGTCAAAGGTCAAGGTCACATTGACCTTGAAAGCAAAAACGGTTTCCGATCAATAACTAAAGAACCTTAAGGCCTAGGAACTTCAAACTTGGTATGGTGATTGGTCATGACCAGTAGATGACCCCTATTGATTTTGGGGTCAAGGGGTCAAAGATCAAGGTCACATTGACCTTGAAAGCAAAAACGGTTTTCCGATCAATAACTTAAGAACCTTAAGGCCTAGGAACTTCAAACTGGTATGGTGATTGGTCATGACCAGTAGATGACCCCTATTGATTTTGGGAGTCAAGGGGTCCAAAGGTCAAGGTCACATTGACCTTGAAAGCAAAAACTGTTTCCGATCAATAACTAAAGAACTTAAGGCCTAGGAACTTCAAACTTGGTATGGTGATTAGTCATGACCAGTAATGACCCCTATTGATTTTGGGTCAAGGGTCAAATGTCAAGGTCACATTGACCTTTAAAGCAAAAACGGTTTCCGATCAATAACTAAAGAACCTTAAGGCGTAGGAACTTCAAAACTTGGTATGGTGATTGGTCATGATCAGTAGATGACCCCTATTGATTTTGGGGTCAAGGGGTCAAAGGTCAAGGTCACATTGACCTTGTAGGTAAAAACAGTTTCCAATCAAACCTAAAGAACCTTAAGGCTTAGGACATCAAAACTTGGTATGGTGATTGGTCATGATCAGTAGATGACCCCTATTGATTTTGGGTCAAGGGGTCAAAGGTCAAGGTCACATTGACCTTGTAGGTAAAAACGATTTCAGATCAATAACTAAAGAACATTAAGGCCTAGGAACTTCAAACTTGGTATGGTGATTGGTCATGATCAGTAGATGACCCGTATAGATTTTGGGGTCAAGGGTCAAAGGTCAAGGTCACATTGACCTTTTAATTAAAAACGGTTTCTGATCAATAACAAAAGAACCCTTAGGCCTAGGAACTTCAAACTTGTATGGTGATTGGTCATGATCAGTAGATGACCCCTATTGATTTTGGGGTCAAGGGTCAAAGGTCAAGGTCACATTGACCTTGTAGGTAAAAACGGTTTCCGATCATAACTAAAGAACCTTAAGGCCTAGGAAACTTCAAACTTGGTATGGTGATTGGTCATGATCAGTAGATGACCCGTATAGATTTTGGGGTCAAGGGGTCAAAGGTCAAGGTCACATTGACCTTTTAATTTAAAACAGTTTTCTGATCAATAACAAAGAACCTTAGGCCTAGGAACTTCAAACTTGGTATGGTGATTGGTATGACCAATCAGATGACCCCTATTGATTTTGGCGTTAAGGGGGTCAAAGGTCAAGGTCACATTGACCTTGTAGGTAAAAAACGGTTTCCGATCAATAATGAAAGAACCCTTAGGCCTAGGGACTTCAAACTTGAGATGGTGATTGGTCCATGATCAGTAGATGACCCCTATTGATTTTGGGGTCTAGGGTCAAAGGTCAAGGTCACATGACCTCTTAGGTAAAAACGGTTTCCGATCAATAACTAAAGAACCCTTAGGCCTAGGAACTTCAAAACTTGGTATGGTGATTGGTCATGACCAGCAGATGACCCCTATTGATTTTGGGGTTAAGGGGTTAAAGGGCAAGGTCACATTGACCTTGTAGGTAAAAATGCTTTCCGATCAATAACTTAAGAACCCTTATGCCTAGGAACTTCAAACTTGGTATGGTGATTGGTCATGACCAGCAGATGACCTATTGATTTTGGGGTCAAGGGGTCAAAGGTCAAGGTCACATTGACCTTGGTAGGTAAAAACGGTTTCCGATCAATTAACTAAAAACGCTTAGGCCTAGGAACTTCAAACTTTGTGTGATGATTGGCCATGACCAGCAGATGACCCTATTGAGTTTTAGGTGAAGGGGTCAAAGGTCAAGGTCACATTGACCTTTTAAGTAAAAACGGTTTCTGATCAATAACTCAAGAACGCTTAGGCCTAGGAACTTTAAACTTGGTATGGTGATTTGTCATGACCAGCAGATAACTCCTATTGATTTTGGGATCAAGGGGTCAAAGGTCAAGGTCACTATGACCTTGTAAGTAAAAAACGGTTTCTGATCAATAACTAAAGAACGCTTCGGCCTAGAAACTTCAAACTTGGCATGGTGATTGGTCATGACCAGCAGATGACCCCTATTGATTTTGGGGTCAAAGGTCAAGGTCACATTGACCTTGTATGTTAAAATGGTTTCCGATCAATAATAAGAGAACCCTTAGGCCTAAGAACTTCAAACTTGGCATGGTGATTGGTCATGACCAGCAGATGACCCCTATTGATTTTTGGGGTCAAGGGTCAAAGGTCAAGGTCACATTGACCTTGTAGGTAAAAACGGTTTCTGATCAATTTACTAAAAAACGCCTAGGCCTAGGAACTTCAAACTTTGTATGATGATTGGTCGTGACCAGCAGATGACCCTATTGAGTTTTGGTCAAGGGTCAAAGGTCAAGGTCATGACCAGTAGATACTTTATAACCCTTATTAATTGTTTGATCACTAGGTCAGAAGTCATGCATAATAACCTTATCACATGACTAATTGGCTGCTGATAGGGGGCATACATGTTTTACAAACATATCTTGTTTATTTTGTTTTCCAGTAACTAGTGTATTCCAGTAATTATTCATTCTAGTCTTTATGTTAATATTCAAGGGGTACCTGCCAAGTTCGGCATATAACATATATAGTGGTGTTGAACGTCTTAAGTGAGTTAGTTTTCTCAGGAATTCTGAATGTATTCTCTCTAACATTTGATAGTTTTCATAGCCCCATATTTCTGCAGAGAACAGAAGAATTGGGGATTATAGTATGATCAAACAGTTTAATGGCTAGATCTATAGGGAGAAGTAAATTATTTATTCTTTTATATAATAAGTTCATGGCTTTTTTTGCTTGTGCAGCCAGATGTTTTCTAGCATTTTAGAAAGCTTCCACTCTTTGAGAAATATACACCTAGATATTTGTATGAGGTTACTATTTCAATTGGTGCTTCATTTATTTAAAAGATAAGTTCCTGTCATTATGTGATCAAATACCATTGCTTAGTTTTACTAACATTAATTTTTAATTTCCAGATTCTACAGTATTCAGCAAAATCATTTAGGCAATTTTGTAGTTTTTTTTGGATCATCACTTACTAAAAGTGTGTCATCTGCATATAAAAGTATCAATATTTTTAAAAAAGTATCTATGTTTGGTTCTATATCAATGAATTTCACTCCCGTGTGACCTTTTTCTGCCAAGAATTGTTCTAAATCATTTAGAAATAGGCTGAATAAAACCGGTGAAAGATTTTCTCCTTGACGGACTCCACAATCAATCGGTTGCATCGTAAATTTGGATATCAACTTTACACGAAGACATTATGGCGACAAAACAGATTTTTTTTATCAAACCAGGAAGGAAATTCGAAAGTATTCGTTCATTTGAAAACTCACATTAATTCCATAATTAATGTTAATTTTTTGTTAATATAATAGTATATTACACAAGAGAGTTACATAAATTACTTTTAAAGTCCTTATTACAACTTATTTTTGATATACATTACATATTACACATTAAGATAATATTAATTATACATCACACCTTAAGTAAATAATTTTTTATCACACTTAATGTAAATGCATTATATATCACATATTATGTTGACATTATTATAATATATTACCCTTAGTGTTGATATCATTTATATAGATTAAATTGTTAATGCATTTAAAGAATAATTCAAAACTCCATTTAATTGAGTATTTTTCGAGACATCAATTGTTACATGTATGATGAAAACTTTTAAAATAATATAAACATATATAATAAAACCACGTATCTGGAAATCTCATATTAATGACTAAAATTATGTTAACCGTTAAACATTTATAATAGCTATGTAATCAGTAAAATTATCCCAGTTTTAATATGATATTTTAACATTATAAGTTTAACTTGAATATCTATTATTTCATATATTAAAGAAGCCAGTGTACAGATCTTTGCATATTTCTATATAAAAATTAGAAGTTGTTCATCATGCTTCTATTTTTGTCAGATAAACAAATCAGATTTGATCTAGCCTTTCTAGGTATTTTTTCCCAAATTATTAAAAAAATATTGCTAAAATATATAAAGCAGTCAACAAGTAACATTAGCAAAAGGTTTGAAATATGAGAAAAATAAAACAACAAAACAAACAAACAAAAAATCAGTAAATTTAGTGATTTCTTATACCTAAAGCTTTTAAAACATCAATGCATTATGAATATTTACCTATATATTAACTTTCATATGAATTTTTCTTGTAAATCACCGGCTTGATGTGGTATCTTTGACGTAAATACAAACGTGGTTTACTCTGCCGTATTTGGCGAATAATGATAATTATAACAACTAAAAACGCAACGTGTATTTTAGTTTAAGGAACCTATAAATCAATAAAGCGTACAATAAGAAATATTCAAAACATTCGATACCTGTCAGGTTTCGTTCCGCGAAGCGGTGACTGAATTTACTTCCCGGGTTGTAATCAATAGCATGTATATTCAAATCAATATTCAAATGGTTAAGCACTCCTGTCCAATCAAAAGAAATAGTCAAAACTTGTCTGTTCCTTTCAAGGAAAAAACTCTAAGTATGTGCGTACCCGGATGGTACTAAAACGGAATAAGGTATATTGTTATTAACAATGTTACACAATCCTGCCATATTACTTGGCAATATTAATTATAAAAAAAGAAACGTTGTTTCATTTTCATCTCCTTGAAACTTTAACTTTGCGTTAAATTTTTGTATTTTTTCAAATGATGATAAAATCAATGAAAATAAAACGTATCATTTTTTTACATTTAAGTTTTTTATGTATATATTACGGTTCAGAGTATTTAAAAATGTTACAGCTATTAGGATTACATATTCTTAACGTTTGATCAGAATTGGTCTCCCCTTGTTTAATCATACATGCATGTGCATATACACGTTTATAACATTGAAATGAATGAAATAAAAAACAAAGTATACAATAATTGTGATCGAAATAACCTCACTTGAATTGATATATTTTATATTATTAACCTTTTCCCTTATATAAGCGTGTTTCGACGGCTTTTTGCCCCCCCCCCATTTGTTGAGGCCTCAAACAGTAAAAAAATGCCATATTTAGGCCCCAAACACTGTTTTTCGTTTGAGAAATGTTGTTAAAAAAAGTGACCACTTTTTCGGCGCCGTCCCCCATCCAAATATTACATCAGGGGGGTTGCCAGAAGGGGGATGTGCCCCCTTCTGTTTAGGGGGTTTGAAGGGGGGGGCGGAGTCCCCCTCATCGCCAAGAAAGTTTTGGACATGTGACAGGCTAAAAATGGCCTCAGGTCGATCTTAGGGTAACTAGTAACCGGCTTTTCAATGAAAACGGCCATTTTTCGCAATATGCTCATGGGGTAAAAGGTTAAATAATATGACATTTCTTTTCTTCATAGCAATGCATTCTAAAACATGCATCTAAAACAATGAATTATAAATTTATGACCAGGATTTTAAGAACATTTGAATGTAGAGAAGATGCGCAGCTATATTTGCTACAAACACTTTGTTTACATTTACTCCTCTTACGACAAAATATTTCACAATCAGCATGTAATAAGCATCTTAAATGCTCTTAAATCATTGTTTACTGTTACAAAGCTAATGTTTGCCCTTTCTAAAGAAGGAACAAATGTTTTCATCTCAAGCCCTCAACTCCAAAAATCTCTCTTTCTGTTATAACTTGCAATATGTTGAAATGAAATCGTACATGTTATAACATAGTACTCCAAGTTCAGTTGTCAAATGAACTCTCTTTAAAATGAGATTAGGCGGCAGCTTATCAAATATATATAGAATGCGATAAAAATAATGATTTTTTCTTGCGAACATGTGCGGTGATATAAATTAATATTTAAATGTAAGTAATATTTATACAAAAGATTTTTACAATTATAAGGACTGATGTAATATATATGCAAGCCTGAGATTACTTAAAATCCTCATGTCTATACATAAATGTACACTATCATTTTTAATGTAATTTAGACATTCTTTTAAACAATTATGATTTTATATGTGTTATTTACGGTTCCGACTTATTATTAAAAGGTTAACGAGTAAATTCTCGAAATCACCTGCAATTAACTTCCCGGATGGTGACCTATTAAAGTTTTAAACATTTGAAAGCCAGTTAAAACACGCAATCTGGTAAGCATATTTTACCTTCATTTATCACTTATTTAAGGAATTTTCACATTTTCAGAAATAAAAGTAGCATTTGTGGAATATATCATAATTCAAAATGTTTGTAAAATTAACATAACATTAAAATCGAAAGAGGAAGTTTTTATTCTAAAAAACGTTGACATTAGGTAACGATGGTTTAATTACAAAGGTAAACATGTAATGTTGTTTTCTTTGTTTGTGTTCTTTTTGTGTTTATGTCTAAAGATAAAGGCAATAAAATATAAATTTAGTTATAAGTCGAATGAAAGTTGATATGTGATTGAGCTTAAATTTCTGTAAGTTATCCATCATTTGACAATGATGTCGGCATTACAAACGATTTCAAGTAAGTGTTAGTTTAAAACGAATATTGTTATCTTAAAAGTTCCATTTAATTTTGAATTTATTATGTGTTTTTAGTTTAAAGATTGAAAAAATCTAGCTAATGAAAACGATAGTTTGTTTGTTAATTATTTACTTTATCAATATGTTGATTATGTTTTTGTTACATTGTATGTATAGAAAAGTCGACGTAATAGGGAAAAGATGACGTCAAGGCAAGACATTCTGCTGGTGGTGGCGATTGATTTCGGAACAACGTATTCCGGATTTGCTATACAATTCCGCCACGAGTTCGATCCAAAGGACCCAACTAAAATCAGAGCTCCCCAAGCGTGGAATGGAGGGAAACAGGTAAAAGTCCAAAAACTATTAGTTTTTAAGGCACGAATAAAAATTTGGAAGTATATATGTGGGGTTATAATTTGTCACTGGGTAGTATGACATTTTGAATTACCTGTAAACTGAGTGGTACATTATACACACCGTATTACCGGCGGCAGTGATGGCAGATCACTGCAGTGATGGCAGATCACTGCAGTGATGGCAGATATCTGAAAATTACCGATCGATACAGGTAGGTTATAAATTTGGTTGGTTTAATTATATTACACAAATACGGCCCATTTCATTGCTATAAAACTATTGTCCATTGAATGGAGATACTGTAAGGTAATTTTGGACTCGTTTTTTCCTGTTTTAAGACTATTTTGAGCAGGTTAAAAGTGACAGCCTCGGAAAAATCCGTGAAAATGTCTGTTTTCTGTTCAAAATATCTCAAGTTTAAAGTAAATGGCAGGATTTCCTGTTATCAACATAGACGTTCATCCATTGGGGTCACGCAAGCCAAATATCTACCCCGTGAGTCTTTTCTTGAAAGTTTTACAGACGCTCAATCTTGTCCGGTTGAAGAAAAAATGCTGCCGTTGTAGGCAGATACATATTATAAATGCTGCCATCGATGGCAGAAATACCATGAAAGTGGCTAACATTCTGACAGAAAATCAAGTTCAATCTTTTATCAATTCCTCTTTTCTTTGCGTCCTTTAAGTCGGAATTGAGACGTAAAACTATCATTTCTAATATTTTCTCAAGATAGAAAAGTTATTAATGCGGTATGTGCATCGAAAGAAAATTTTTAGCAACATGCAGTTACAATACAAAAAGTGATGATTTAGTACGACAAAATTGAACTATAAATAGAGAAATGAACATGAAAAACTTCATTTTTCTACATTCATGCATGTGTGCTTGATCTGTTGTGTCTGTCAGTTACATGCATACAATACTATATGTATATGTATACAAACTACAACGCTATTACAAACATTAAAATTTAAAGAAATGAATCCACGTTGTCGTGTTTTTCAAGAACTTGATAATATAGGAAAATATTTGAACTGTCAATAATATTATCTTTCCATTTTACATTAACATACCTTGTTTTATGATACACTGATGCCAGTTGCGAGGTTAATAGTCGCCCCTTTATTACATCAATTTAATAACTTATAATCTGCGCCGATTAAGTAAATTTCAGCCTTTATTTGTCATAAAGCGATGAACATTATTACCTCGAGAAAATAATGTCATATGCTAGCAAATGAATATCCACTTACAGAAGTTACTTGCTGTAATATGCAATTGGCGTTATGTCTTAAAAAGGGAGTGCGCTGCTAAACTTAAGATGCATATAGTATTGTATGCATGTAACTGACAGACACAACAGATCAAGCACACATGCATGAATATAGAAAAATGAAGTTTTTCATGTTCATTTCTCTATTAATAGTGCAATTTTGTCGTACTAAATCATCATTTTTTGTATTGTAACTGCATGTTGCTAAAAACCTTTTTTCGATGCACATACCGCATTAATAACTTTTCTATCTTGAGAAAATATTAGAAATGATAGTTTTACGTCTCAATTCCGACTTAAAGGACGCAAAGAAAAGAGGAATTGATAAAAGATTGAACTTGATTTTCTGTCAGAATGTTAGCCACTTTCATGGTATTTCTGCCATCGACGGCAGCATTTATAATATGTATCTGCCTACAACGGCAGCATTTTTTCTTCAACCGGACAAGATTGAGCGTCTGTAAAACTTTCATGAAAAGACTCACGGGGTAGATATTTGGCTTGCGTGACCCCAATGGATGAACGTCTATGTTGATAACAGGAAAATCCTGCCATTTACTTTAAACTTGAGATATTTTGAAACAGAAAACAGACATTTTCACGGATTTTTCCGAGGCTGTCACTTTTAACCTGCTCAAAATAGTCTTAAAACAGGAAAAAACGAGTCCAAAATTACCTTACAGTATCTCCATTCAATGGACAATAGTTTTATAGCAATGAAATGGGCCGTATTTGTGTAATATAATTAAACCAACCAAATTTATAACCTACCTGTATCAATCGGTAATTTTCAGATATCTGCCATCACTGCAGTGATCTGCCATCACTGCCGCCGGTAATACGGTGTGTTACACTGATAAAGCGAGTGAATTGATTTAACATTTTGTCTATTGAATACATTATTGATTTTGGCAAACATGTATACCGTCATACGTTTTAAGTCATATGGCAAGCTAATATGACGACTTCTACGCTAATTGGCGGAGCATGTATTGATTATTTGTTTATTTTATTTGTTTTTACAAGTTTGATAGTACATAAGTAGTACATATGAAGTACATAAAATAAATAAAGTGTATTTATTCATAAATGTTAATTACTTAAAACCTTTATTTATTTTTTAGGTCCAGTATTGGTTCAAAAAGTCTAATAATTTAATGTAGTTATAATATTTGATATTTTATAAAATCATTTATTTATAACATTGGAATTTTCATAAAGTTTATTTATCAAAAATGTAAAATTATTTTTATTTTTTAAGTAAAATTTACTAATTCTAAAGTTTATTAATTATTGATTTCTTTATTTGGCTTAATATTAAAAGTTTTGTTATTTATATAAAATTCGATTATTGATAAAATTGATTTATTTGATTTATTGAACTATTTATGTAGTTTATCTAATGAAAAAAACAAACAGACAAAACTTTTCAAAGTTTTTTTTAATGAAAAACATTAATAGTATTCAAACTTGTCATATTTATCTTATTGCTCATTCTGGCTTTGGAAAATGGCTATAGGTGTCCGAGAAACTCAAAAACTATCACGAATGTTGTTAGAATATATCATGTACCGTCATATGAATAGCATTCCTTAAGTGTACTTATTCCTTAAAGGTGCTCTTGGGGTCCTTCATATTACCGAACTAACATGTTATTGTTGTTGTTGTTTTGCTGCAACTTTTATTTTAAGCCATAAAAAGAATTCAATTGACTTTGTATTCTTCATACACACAAACGTTACTTTATCAAACACGAAATTAAACATTTTGACCATAGAAATGTGTCTTCAATATATTTATAAACGAAAGCATATATAGATATTAAATAAATAGATTAGATTAAAATGTACGATCACGATTATATTTTGTCTTTGTTATACACTACACATAATAAATTGAATTAGAAAACGTAATAAACCTTAAAGAAAATATTCAAAAGCCTTCATGTTGAGCGATGATTTTGCGTATTTGCTAAAAACAAACATTATTCTTTAAATTTATGTACCTTGGTATGACCTTACTAAGATACAAACACATAATGTACTGACTACACACAGTTCAATTTAAATTCAAACTTTTTATATGGGGTATAAACCTATATTGTACAGAACCTGATGTCTTACAAGACACCAACATGCCTTTTACTGAAGGAGGATAAAACAATTGAAAGCTTTGGGTTTGAAGCCGAGGAGAAATATGCAGATCTATGCATGAATAAAGAAAACAAGAAGTTCTACTATTACAGGCAATTCAAGATGAAACTGCAAGAAGGACAGGTAGCTTCAATATCTTTGTAAAATTTATCAATTTTATATAGTACAGTGTAAGGGAGGTAACTGTGAGCATATTGAAAACGCTCCAAATATTTTCGAATGTAATTTTTTTAATTCATTATTTCATATATGATTCAATTATCTGATATGTCTCAACGTTTATATGATGTGTAATTCAACAAATAGGCAAATATATGTTCCCCGAATAAAGTTTTTCTCGTTCTATTGTTTTGTTTTTTTTTATAAAATAACATTTTATTGAAACTAAAATGAACTAATGCATATAAACATATTTATCTAATTTGCAGCTTGTATTTCAGAAATACAATACACTAACTGTATGTTCTTTATTGTACGACATGTAGGGGTTGAAAAAAGGATCATTGTTGGAGGATGAGACCCAGAAAACGATGCCAGCATTAGAGGTGTTTGCACTTTCTATACAATGTCTGAAAGACTGCCTGATGAAGCTTGTTGAATCGCAAGGAACAGGTTTCTTTCGATGTTTTAATCTTTTTTTACTGCCTTCGAAAAATGTACAAATCAGGTTTATATTGATTTAATTTAATATTTTTTTATTGCATATATGTAATAGAGATAGTTTGGCGCAATTTAAATATATATCCGAGCTACTGAGGTTCAAGTAAGTTCGGGATTGTTAAAATCATTTCAACAACAGCTATTAAGTTCAGTCAAATCTATATATTCATCAGGTTGATACTTCAAGATGGTACAAACAACACTCATCTGAGGGATGAGTGCAGTACATCAATTTTATATCTAATACTTTCTCTAACTATCACAACAGTGAGTGTTAACAACTTAAGAAATAAAGAACTTGACCACAAAACACTAATTTTCTACCAACTCTTCTTTACAACAAGAATTACACAATGACTTTTCCAACCATGAAATCACATGACATAAAAATAGCTTAAAATCAATGATCTGTGAACCAATCATTTGAATTCTTTGAATGCTGACAAATGTAAACATAAAAACCAGTATGGTAATTTCCCTTGAAAAGTATCAGAAAAGACCGGCGGATTTGTCTCCCTTTGCAAAATAATGAATTTCAACAGTAAAGCAAGTGTTTTGTCCCTTTGACCTGATCTTAAAAATAAGACATTTTACATATATAAATATACATCAATCCTTTTACATCAACATAATTACATACTGTACAATAGGGTTGGGCCAACAGTTTTTGCAACATTATCTTGTTGTGTGACAGTTGTCAAGTATTCCATGTCAGTTGTGCCAGATTTAACTATTTCTTACGGGATCATGGTTTGCAATACATGGTGTTAAATTTTGAAAACTACTTTTAAAAGCGGAAGACAGGGACAATGGTTATCTCGCAACTTTGATTCATTGAGTCTCATTAACGTACTCAATCAAAACTAGTCAACAGTATCAAACTTTTCATTTCTTTATGTCCTCATTTCTCGAATATAATGTTATGATTTACGGATTAAATATTTATAACATTAAGAACAGCTTTAACATGGCGCACAGCAAAGTGTGTAATATATCACAATTCCACCAGTTATAAGTGAAATAAAAATACTCATCACGTTAACAATTTTGATGGAGTGGATATAGTGCATTACAGAAATGCAAGCTTTTGTTTTGCATTTTAGGGGTCGGAATGGATGATATTTTATGGGTATTGACAGTTCCTGCTATTTGGGATGACAATGCAAAGGCGTTCATGAAGGAAGCGGCAAAATTGGTATTAACTATATTTACAAATTACAATAATTTGACATTATTATGTGTGTGTGTCTTATTTTATTAGATCCTTGGGTAATAATAAATAAAATATATGTAAATAGTGTTTTATAATTATCTTAAATGCCATTTTTTTTTATCTCTTTGCTGATATGTTGGAATTAGAAAGCAATGTGTCTTTCTGTAAAGTGAAAAGAATATAAGACAAAATGACTGTTACTATGATTGGTCTCTTGTGAAATATAAATATATACATTGAAAATTTCATCTTCTTATAATAAATCTAGATGTTACTTTATTCCGAATCACATCATTTGCATATATAAGTGTTGAATTCTAACATCATTTAGTGCATTTATCCAGGCGGGTATCTCAGAGAATCGTCTCAGCATTGCCCTTGAACCGGAAGTGGCTTCTTTATTTTGTCAGCACTTACCCGTTGAAAAGTTTTCGGAGGGAGGAAAGGCTGGGTTTGCCAATGCAAAACCAGGGACAACATACATGGTTGCAGATCTCGGAGGTAAGAAATTGTAATTTTTAATCTAAGTCGGGACAAAACCAAATAGATTAATCTGCATAAATGCTTAAATTTACGATTATATTTTTCGTTTGCAATTGACCTACGGAGTTAGCCAATTCATGTGAAAAGCAGAAATTAAAAGTTTTACAAATTTTACGTGAAAGAAAAGGGACATAAACGATAAATCTAAAATTCAAAATTTGTTATATTATGCTTTCAGGAGGAACGGCAGACATTACTGTTCACGAACGTCTTTCTGGAAATCGGATAAAAGAGGTTTACAAAGCTAGCGGCGGACCGTGGGGTGGAACGGCTGTTGACCATGCGTTCACTCAGTTAATAGTCAGTATAGTGGGAGGTCCCGTCTGGGGAAGATTTAAAAGAGAGCAGACATACGACCACTTAGAGCTGTTGAAAGATTTTGAATGCATTAAAAGGACCCTTGGCACAAAGACTGGCGAATGGTATAACATAAAGATTCCGGCAACTCTAAATGAAGTTTGTAAAGAGGTCCATGACCAATCATTTCAAGAGATGACCCAAGAGTCACCGATAGCAGATCAAATCGCCTTTGTTAGTGATAAAATGAGAATGAAGGTAGGTCTGGTTGAAAAACTATTTAAGAAAGTCATTGACAATATCGTTGAGCACATGAAGAGAATCATTACAACGACTGATGCCGGAAGAAAGATCTCCCTTATTTTGATGGTAGGTGGATTTTCAGAGTCGCCATTTGTACAACAAGTAATGAAAGCAGAGTTTACAGACAAGTCAAAGGTGAAGGTTCTGATTCCACAACAAGCGGGTATTGCTGTATTGAATGGTGCTGTTTTGTATGGTCGCATGCCGGAAGTTGTAACAACCAGGGTTGTAAGATATACTTATGGTGTCAGGGTAAGAAGAAAATTTCAACCTGGAAAAGATCCAGAAAGTAAGAAGAAACAAAATAAGCCCGAGTATTGTTATGATGCATTCAAGCCTTTTATGAAGGAAGGTACGTCAGTTGAAAGGGGTCACAAAGTTATTCAGTCATACTCAACAAGCCGTCCATTTCAGGAAGATATGGATGTGTACGTTTACACAGCAGCAGGATTTGTACCAGAGTTTGTGACGGATAATGGTTGTCATCTGTTAGGAATTTTAAAGGTGAAGGTACCAGATCCATCGGAAAAAGAGAGAAATCTTGTTGTCCTCTTCCGATTTGGAAGTACAACCCTTGCTATGCTTGCTATAGAAGAAGACAGCAAAAAGGTATGCGCTACGGTGTTTGGACTTCCAGAGTAAATCGTGAAAATAATTCATTCCAGTTTTGTTTAGCTATATTCAGCAAAATAATATTTACAGTCCTTTTAACATTTGTTTGGAATCGTTTTGGCTTGGATCAGTCTTATAAAGTTATTTCAAAACAAACAGTTATTTATTAATTTTATACTACATAAGCTCACTTTAGAATATTTTTGTTTTACAGAAAATTAATCCTTTTTAAACGTTGGTGGGAAATAATTTGAATTCAGAAGAGTAAAATCACTATTTTTTGCACATGCACTTATGCATAAATTGGAGTTTTGAATTACGTTATAAATATTATAGATATTCTAAATATAATTTGTATAATGTTTTTCTTTTATACCGTACACTCTGATATGAAGGCGAGTAAGGTACTGTTTTGTATTCACGTATAAAAATCATTATTCACATATCATGAACTAATGGGCAAACTAAATTATCAATATTGCTACGTGTTGTGCGATAGTAAGTTTAAAGGAAGACACAGGCAAAATTTTCATTTCTTAGTTTTGATTTTTTCGTTCATTATTCTGTACATGGGCTCAAAATGAATACAATAAACAATCAAAGGAACAAAACGTTTCTCCATATAAGAATAAAATAGTGTTTTCCTAAGCTAAGAGCGCTAAGATTTCACAATAGTTGTCACTGTGTACCCTGGAAACGTTAAAGAACATGTCAAATCAATTACTTAGACTTGTTTCAATTATACAATATCCACAATACCTATTATTGTAACTTACAGGATTTGTTCAAATCACATGACATGTTTTTAAACTATTCGCCGATTCTGTTGGCGTCTAAATTTTGTTCAACATATAAAGATATATTTAAGCTCTAAACCCAAAATATATAGAATTTATACATAAATTCAAGCTGGGACTTTAAGAAATGTCATTTTAGTGTGATTTCAGTACACAAGATCATTTTTATATATTTGTCATTATTTTGCCTAAGTATCCCTTCAAGATGTGCAATTCTCTAGATTTAATGAGACCATGACAAATGATATGAAGCCGTATTTACGTTACTGTTTAAGATTTCTTGTCATTTCAAGTTCCTATTGTACTTTCCCTGTCCAATATTTTTTTGAAAAGTTGTAAAGAAAAGCCAAACCAAGATCACAGATATGTTTATATAACTGTTTGATTGCATTTGTTACTTTCGGTACCTTAATTAAGTACATAAAACATCTTTATTCAATAGAAGTTTTATAAAAATATATATAATTTTATTCTCTAATCAAGTTTGTGCATTACACTTATATATTTTTCTATATACAATTAGACATGATAACTGATTATTCACTTATAATGTCATTTAATAGTAAACACTTTGTTCATAACGACAATATGTATAATGTACTGTTTAGTGCACAATTGTAATGCTAATTTTCATAAATTGCCGTAACAACTCAATGTTTAACGTCTGTAACAAAAGTACTAATCTAAAAATGAAGAAAATGTGAAATGTCAATGAAAAGTTAACATGATTTTTATTTATAGGAGTACAACTATTACACAGTAATGCAATAAATATAAAAAATACACGGAAAATCGTATTTCTTATTTTATCCCCTTGGTGCCACCCTTTTGTCTTGTAAAGTCTTGCTGTTTCCCTTTTTGCTGAAACATGAAATTCTTAAATAATTAATTCAATTAAATTGCTTTGAGAAGAAAAGTTGGAAAATAATTCATTAAACTTCCGACTTGCAGCGGTTTAAAATAACAAGTTGGTGTATAATTATTACAATTTATGTACACGATGGGTAATTAACACTTGGTACGATAAGTATTGTAATTCTGAATCATTGCTCAACCAATTGTCTGTTTCTAATTTAGTTCGTTCAATTCAAATTGAAATTCAGTTTCTCTTTATCGATACACTGTTTCCCTATTAAATGTTTCTCTTTTTTGCAATCTCTAAAAAATCAAGTTCAAATAATGATGACTATACAAAAGGAAGCTCCAATGCCTATGCCGTAGCTAATACATTTGTCTTTGAAATATGCGCTACAAGTCTCAAACAATTTTCTTAACCGTGGACGTTAATACTCCAATCTGCAAAAAAATTTTGTAAAGTACCAAAATGCATGTTATAAATTTTACAGGAAACAATTACAAGCCTTTGTAGATCATACATATAATCAATTGAGAAAATGTTATTTTTATGATAACATAATAAAAAGTTGGCACAGCCATTAAACAGTCTTGCCATACGATGTCTTAGAATAAACAAATGGAAATTGTTTCCATTTTCGTCCCACAGGTGACACCTCTTCCTTGTCAACACTTGTTCACACAAAATAATACTTTAAAAGGAAACGTGCTGTTTGTTGTTCTGCTAAAACAGGAAGTTTTGAATAATTGATTCAATTATGTTGCTTTTGGGACAAAAATATTATTTTAAGCTATAGAATAAGATAAAGGTCGGCCAATAATTCATTTTATATTATTACTGCGACGATCAAGAATGACACTTTTCTTATCTAATTACCAGAATTCATTTAGATATGAGGTTTTGGTATAATCAGTAATAAATATTCAGTGCAATTTAAACATAGTTTGGGGTAAACCATAGGCATCGTGCTCTCGTTTTATTGCTCTTGAACGTCTGATTTTGTTGCTTATTTTAGTTCAGTTGATTGACTTTGATTTTCAGTTTATTTTCTTTATAAGTATACAATCTTATCCGAATCACGTGTTTCTAAATCATTGCAATACCCATTTGTCTTTCGTGCACTGTTAAATCAATGAATACGTCCAACTTTAACTTGTCAGTGATATCATATGTATTGTCGCTCTAGGTTTTGTAATAGCAAATTGTTCCGCTTTAAGACACATAATGTCTCAAAAATGAAAAGCATCTGTCTTTGCATAAAACGTGAAACCAGCTAATAACGTTTAAATAATGATTTTAGATCACGCTAGATGCCTGAAGAATGCAGCGATGAATATGGAAATATTGCATTCCCACATTTTACTAACACCCTTGATTTTTTCAATTAGACAAACATATATATGAGCAAACTCCGTGGACCAAAGTGTTTTAAATATATGCAAAAAAGTTTAATGATATCATTGTTTTCATCAGTTGATATTTTTTTCGGCAAATTTGTCGGAAATAAATGTGCAATGAATTAGCGTTGACCTTTTACACTTGTTACAGTGATATATTGCAAAGAATTCGAAGATATACTCCCGCAAATAAATTAATACTCACATAACAGCAGTTCCTTAAAAATGTAGAACAAAGACAAATAAGGATATTTTCAATATAAAACGCGACAAGCATTATGTGAAACATTACGCAAGTAAGTCATTGAAAAAATAAAACGTTATCATGTCAATGTCAAATGAATATATCAAAATCTATATCGTTCAGGGTTTCAAAGTATTTATCATTTTCTTCTATCATTCACATTTCATTAAGATAAGTAAACACACACTTTAGTAAAATAGCTTATTAATCAAATCCTGTCACTAAACAATCAGACGGACATTTTGCAATAATGGAAAAATTAGTCTGAGTTTGACATAGCTGACATTGCATATCTATTAGAAGAGAATTTCTATAAAGAAAAAAACTATGCACTAAATAAACAGAACTAGCTTAAATAGCAGGCATTTATATTAGGAATAATCATTTCGTTAAGTAACTTCAAAGGAGATGCACAATGGAGATGCACAATGACGTTAGATATTGTCGTATCTTTGACGTTTTGAGACGCAAATGCAAAAATTAAAAGCGAAGCGTCAATATGAATCTTTTACAATCCACATTTTCTAACTGTTGCATTATCGCATTGTTGCATTTTCGCTTTATTCATTTTCGCTTTGGTTTGTAATGCATGCGCCATCAATTAGAAAAACGAGCCTGTTCTTTAAAACCCAACAATAATAAAACTTTTTTTAAAAACTTTATTATTTTTTAAAATGCCGTTTTGTAAATTTTCCTTATTAATATTTTTACTGGATAGTACCTTTTATTTTTTCTAGCAGATATGGTTTCATAGTAGGGTTAAAAGGTTTTGATTCAGGTTTTCTTATTGTAGATGATTGTTCTACTGTAAATCACGTATTAATATAATCTTGATATAGAAAATAGTTCATCGTAAGTATGGTACAATGTCGATAACAATTACGGCATTATTTAAAATATTTTTAATTAAAAACATCTTTTTCATCACCAAGCTTATTTTTTTATCCTTATCATACGTATCCTGTTTCATTTATATCCTCAGTACAAATCCCAAATGAGACATCCTCACTTAGTTATACTTCTTGTACTTTTGATTTCCCCCGGGGATATTGTTTTTGTAAGTCACCTTATTCATAAAAAAGACATTATTATGCTATTTACGCAACAGATATTTGTGAAAGAAAAAGGCAGTATGCAGTTACATAAGATATGCTTGGTTATCTTTTTCCTAATGACACACAGCTTGAAAAGGCTTTGTTCTTTACTACTCTATCATACTTTTTAACCCTTCTGTCTGCCTGTCTTTTCTACCCTTGCGACCAGTGCGAATGAAAATCAGCCGCCGTCCGATCATGTTCTGCACTGTTCGCTATCTAGTCAGTAATATCTTAATATTTTGTAAAAATGACTTAATAACAAAACTAAAATTATGCTTGGATAAATATGTGACGCAAGACAACAATAATAAGAATATATATTAGGAATCAAAAATGAATTAAATTTATTATTTTTTCGTTACAGTTAATGAGGTTTTCTGAAGGAATAAATGAAGAACCTTTGGACGAAGTACATAATCTTCGGTCTTTTGTATCTTTTTATAAATAAGACATTGCTATGTGGCATTATGCGTTCGTCAATTGGTATAATTACTGAGGAAAATAAACAATAATCAAGTTAAGGCAGTGTTGCCTTGGCAATGCTGATTACTAGGAGATTGCAAACTGAATTATTTCTAATGACATAAGAATTTTTTTCCTAAATATTTGATATAATTACTTGAGTAATGACTGATACTGGCAATTATTTTCTTGGAAATGTACTCTAAGGAATGACTCTCATTCAAGGCCTATTATGCCTCGAAATTGGTAAAGGCTGATTCTGATTAATTTTCTTCTTTGAGATGCACTCTAAGAATATCTCTTTTTAAAAGTTAGTTAAAGTTTATTACATTTTACCCTTCAATAACAATTAAAAGAACGGTTAAGAGAAACATCTTACCAATGAAATGTATGAGGCGTTACAATGTTTGTTTGGATGTTTTCATATTCATCCATCTACTAAATTATCACTGGCGTTACATTGCTTGGTTTTATCTGAGCACTGATTCATGTGATCATATCTATGAATGAAAACATTGAATGTTTATGGCACATTAAGTCTCAAAGATTGCAGCGATATCACTTTTGTTGAAAATCTACTTAAAAGCCCATTAGGATTTAAAAGTACATTTTTTAATATCTCTCAAATGATGTTATCTTAATGTTTTCTTTTTAATATTTAATATTTCTGTTTTCTTCA